GCATTTGCTTATACGGAAGGAAAGTGCACTTTTGGAGATTCTTGCTTTGGCAAGCTCTGTGATTCTGTGCCGACGTGGAGCGGAAGTGTTCCGAAGCGAATCGCCCTGGAAACATCTCCAGGTATGATTCTCCGCCACGTCGGACAACTTGGATTTCACTGCCCTTGTTGAATCCAACCCTGCCCAACCAGAACCCAGCAGGTTTCCTTTTCGCCTGCTGCAGTAATCTGGCTTGACTCTCCATCCACCCTGCGCCTTTTTCTCACAAATTGCCATTGTTGATCCCAGTCTCGGATTTGCCTCTCTATGAACGACGTAACTTAGCTTCAGATTCCGTAGATTTTAACTGGCAGTTGTCTACAATCCTCACTGTTCTTTGCTCGCCTTGGACGTACGATTTTTCCGTCGAACTTTGCTCTCTCGGCTGTTTGTTAGGACTGTTAGAATGGCGGCGCTAGCTAGCGGCGCGTCTTTGGTCGTTCCTACTGCGTGCACAGCCGCAGGAAAATCCTCCCTCGCTTGCTCATCGTCAAGCGTTTATGGCCTTCCTGCCCTCCAGATTCTTTCTAGACGTGCCTCGGCTAACGCATCGAGCCGCAGCTTTCAGAGAAAAGTACGTCGTTGTTGGCAGAGCTTGGCCTTGAAGGGTTTTTTTTTTTTATATAGTGGCTAGATCGTGTCGGCCAAGTTTGCGATGCTGTTTCAATCGCCTCCCCTCCTGAATTTGCGGTTTTACGGCTCTGATTTTCTACACAGAATCTGCAGATTATGGCAGCGACCGATTTGAAAGAGGAAATGGTGGAGTTTGCCAATGCTGAGAAACGGTGGAGGACTCAGGTACGTGTCTATTGACTGTCCTCCGGATGTCCTTTTCCTGCATATCTAGGGAATAATTGCTCAAATTGCTGTTTCTGCAGATTGCCGAGGGCAAGGTGAAGTCACTGTCTGCGAAGGAAGCGGGGTATACTTACCAGCTGTCCGACTACGTACTCCTTGACGTGCGACCATCGTATCAGCACAACAAGGTTAGTCGGGTTGCAATCCGTCGGTTCTCTTTGCTCTGACAACCTTCGCGTACCGTGGCGTAGTAAATTAAAGATTTACTTTTGCAATTCCAAGTCGTTCCTCTGCTTTGCCAACCCGCTTTTGGGTTTCATTGGGGCCAGGCTTGGGTAAAGGGCTCCCTGTGGATTCCTGCCTTCGACGTCGACAACAGTGCCAGCCCAGGGGTCTTGTCCCAGAAAGTGATGACCTTCATGATGGGTGAGTGCCTTGGGGGATTCAGTTTTTGTTAGGGGGAATGCATGATTTTAGGCCTTTTGTGATTGTTGATTTTCTCCAGTTACAATGAAATCTAGTTATCGTGAACACACTTGCGCAACACTGAACGCACAATCTAAGTTGGACTAGTCTCACGTTGTATCAGAAGAATCAGACGAATCGCTGCTGTGGCTGACATGTCACATGCCCTCAATTTTTATGGTACACTTCGCCAACTTTTGTCATTCTTTGTGCCATTTCAGGAGGATGGTGGTCTGGAGCGTCAGTAAACAAGAGAAACGAGTAAGTTGCTCCTTACAAGTGATATCCTTAACTCTAGTTGGTAAAGAGCAATTGACATCCGTAGCCTTGCCTAGGAAGCTCTGATCGCCTGTTCCTTCCCAACCCTCTTCGCTTCTTGTCACCTTTCCCTGGTAGAGAGGGTTCTTCCTGTAGTCTTGATACGACAGCCTTTTGTTCGTTTATTTTCCAGGCGATTTATGGCTGACGTTGTGGCTAAGATTCCCAAGAGTGCCAACATCATAGTTGCGTGCCAGAAGGGTTTGAGGTAGGCATTTGCGTTCCTTGTTCCAGAGTCAGGGTGTATTTGGGGGTCTTTTGATGCACCTGCCCTTAACTGACACTAAACTTTTCGTTCTGCAATTTATTACTTACAGGTCTCTTGCAGCATGTGAGCACCTTTACAAGGCTGGCTATAGAAATATCTATTGGCTAACTGGTGGCTTCGACACTGCCAGCGATGAGGTACCTGAAAAAGTTTCCCGTTGACATCCCTGTTACTGCCATCTCTGCAATTTGCCCTGTGTTGCCTTTCCATATTCCTTTACCTTCTCACATTCTTGACGTCAGTACAGACATGTAAGATGATGCAATGAATTTCAACCCTAAGTTATTTATGATAACTGTATTGCTGAGTTGCACTGTGTCGGGTTGTGATTACAGGACTTCGAGCGGGAGGGTCCTGTTCCGCTTCAGCTGGCGGGCATTGGAGGCATGTCTGAATTCATTGGGTATGCATATGTTGTGGGAAATGTTGTGTCAGCCTTTTGGCGATGGCAGCCCTGACCTACCTCTTCTTGGTTCGCTTTGTGCAGCTGGACTGATCCTCAACGCCGTCTTGCCAAAACTGAGGGATGGCAGTACCGTGCCACCTTCTTTGGCCGACTGGTATGTAGTAGCTCTACAGTACGCAAGCTTCTTTTGACAGTGTTGATTATGAACGATCTAATGGTATCCTTTCGTGTGCCTTGTTCAGCTTGTTGTGTTTTTGGCTGCGGACCTTGCTCTTATTGGGTTGCAGCAACTCAGCTCTTTTTTCCGTGAGCTTGGCCAATAAGCAATGTGACTTGCTTCTCGTTGTCTCTGATATCTACGTTTAGCATGCTACACAAAACTCGCTTCTTGTAATTAAGCTTTGAGCGAGCTTGCACTGTAGAACTTGAGGTTCCAAGATATTGTGTTCCAACCGAGAGACGAAGGCGAACTCAATTCCTGTAAGAAATCTCCACATCTAGGAAGCTGTGTAGATTCGATTCTGTAAGATAATTACTGTGAGTTCGAATAATCTGGACACTTCAACACCTAGTTGACGGAAGGAGCATTCGTACGTCATCAGAAAAGTGAGGCACGGAGGTTAACCCCGCAAAGGAGAGTTGAGTCGAGGAAAAACCACACCTATCACAACACCCAGAAAAGTGACTACCTCAAGCTTTGCTTTATGCGATACGTAGAGGCTGGAGGCTATAAATGGTGCTATAATGTGGCGATCTCGAAGACTCCCAGTTACTGAACACGACGACTGGAATCTATAACAACACCCTCTCTAAATTGGAACCCGTCCTAAACGGCTCTCGGCTCTACATTAACCATGCATGGGGTACTGCCCGTTGTGTGAAAATATATAAGGCAGAATCTGTTGTGGCATGATTCTATTGCTTGTTTCCGCGTCAAGATAATCACACAGAGCGAAAATCTAGGGTTTTCAGCTTAGCGGGGACAGGTATCCCGAACCCTCCGCTTTCAGAGGACGGGTTTCGCAACCTGCGCACAGTTTCCGCAAAAGGCTGGGCTAGGGGGGGACAGTTATCGTTCAGGTAAGGGACTCGAGCTCTCAATGAGCCACGTTTTTCATCCTTCACAGCTCGATCACTGTACACATGCAATCAGAAATTCTGCTCTGCGCATGCTTGTCTTTTCTACCGAATCAAGCCCACGTTTGGGGTGGCTAGTCAAACCGCTGTTCCCAAAGCTGTATATTGCACCCGACACCCTGAGAAAATGTGGGAATATATATTGCATCCCCTGACCAGAATTTTTTTTTTAAACCCAATCGGAAAAGGATGCGACTCAGGGAGGCATCAACCCTAAAATCAATGCCCTTTCCCGTGTTTAGGGTTGATCCCTCCCAAAAATGCGTCAGGTTCCCTAGGGGTATTTTTTTAATGCCTTGCCCTTATTGTTCCCGGTAGCGTCATTTAGCGCCGCCGCCCAAATGGGCTAGCTAAACGACTCTTCCGCGTGAAATATTTTGGGCTGAAACAACAAGCCAGAGCAGTAGGGAATCTGTGATTGAACACCTACAGTAAGCTCTCTGTGAAAAGTAAGACACGTGGCTCATTGAGAGCTCGAGTCCCTTACCTGAACGATAGCTGTCCCCCCCTAGCCCAGCCTTTTGCGGAAACTGTGCGCAGGTTGCGAAACCTATCCCCTGAAAGCGGAGGGGTCGGGATACCTGTCCCCGCTAAGCTGAAAACCCGAAAATCTACGTCTTTGGATTCCCAGTTGCTCGATTGCCAGGTTGACTGGAGGAGAACGCGTTTATGAATGCCACCATTGCCATCACCACCACAGCTGCTCCCATCATCGCATCAACGATTCACTCATCACCATTCGATTCCGGCAATCCCTCGGACAGCCCTCACTAACGAAAAAGAACCCCCCAGAGCCCACAGCACAATCCCAGTTCCCATCCCCAGGTGCTGTGCTAGCCAAGCCAACCTTGCTTTCCTCCCACTCATCTCATCCTCCGCAGCAGCCTTTCTTGTTCCAAGCGCAACCTACACCTGCACTGTACATCTCTTTCTAGCGTTTCTTTTGACACTCGTCACTAGGTCCTAGATGGATCTCATTGATCCCTTTCTCTCTGCTCCGTGGCTTATTTATCAGACCCTCGGGTCCAATGTCGATCTCGCAATCTGTTACTGTAGTTCTTGCATCCGTAACCCATTAGCCTGGTATGGTTTGCCTCCCTATTCCTTTTCTTCAGTCAACAGTATGTCAAGTTAATCTATGTTAAAGTAGCATTCAAGTGACACCTGTCAGAAAGCACGTGTCTTTATCAGGTTGACACGTGTCATTCCCGTCGCCGCAGTCGCAGCTCGTGACATGGGCAGTAGTTGACCATTTCGCTCCACACGCACACATCTGGTCTCGCTAGCATATAGATACAGGAACTTCCGTATCTCACGCCTAGAGGCAGTCTTCAAAAGGTGGTCGTCTTAGCAGCTAACTTGGCAGTCGCCAAGCTCCTGGAGTTTCCTTTGACGGTGTGATAGTAGAAACTTCGCAATTCGCACCAGTAGAACTACTCACTACTGCGGCACTTGAACGCACTAGCCGCTCAACAGATAACTCCGTCAGTCCCGCGAAGTTTCTCCGAGGGTTCGTTCCGAGCGTTGAAACCTACACGACCGACAGCGTTACCACGACTAGCTGAAAGAATGTCAGGCGGTCCAGCCGGCGGCATGGGCGGGGGAGGAACCAGCAGGGACGGCGCGCAGATGCACCCCGACATGGCGTTCGAATGGGGCTACTCGCCTCGAGGTACGCCGCCGTCTTTCCCTGCGTTTCGCTCCTCGAGGTGACTTCTGAGTCGACTCAGAGGTCACTTCGAATGGGGCTACTCGCCCCGAGCTACGCCTCCGTCTTTCCCGGCGTGTCTCACCTCGAGACAGCGCCAGGGACTTTGTAGGCGTCCGACCTTCGTGATCCTGGGACCTGTTTTTCTCTTTTGCAGAAATTTCAAGAGACGCCTAGATTTGCTGCTGTTCTTTTGCCAATGACGCGTAGGCTTCATTCTCCTCACCTCATTCTCTAGTGTTCAGCTCCTCTTGAGAGAGATCCCTCCTCTCTCCTTTCCTCAGTTCGTTCTTAGCTGATTTCATTCCATTCCCCCCTTCCCCCCCCGATCTCCAGCCTTGCTCTTGCTGTCACGCTTTTTTTGTCTTGGCTTCTCAACTTATAGTCTCGGTCCTTCTGCTCCGTTCTCCCCTCCCCCCTCCCCCCCACACACCTCCTCCCCAACCCCCCCTCCTCTGCCCGCCCCGCACGCCGCGACATGCAGCCGTGCACTCACCGTCCCGCTTCAGCCGTGACGAGGAGGCGAACCCTATCCGGACGAAGAGCAACCTCAGCCAGCATTCGACTCTTGAGACGTCTCAAAAGTCCACTCAATCCCCCCTCCCCCCCCCTTCCCCCCTCCCCCTATTCCAAACCCCCCTTCTGCTGCGACTTGCAGCGGTGCACTCACCGTCCCGCTTCAGTCGCGACGAGGAGGCGAACCCTAATCGGACCAAGAGCAACCTCAGCCAGCAGCGCACGCTCAGTCTCAGCGCAGCGCGACTCAGCCAAGCTGCGGCGGATCTCGGATTCCACGTCACCGCTTCCGCCAATGCACCACCCGCGGCGCAAGCTGGAGCGTTCCCCGGCTTTTCCCCCGCGGCTGCTGCGGCTGCTGCAGCTGCGCTGGCAGCAGGCGGGGATGCTGGAGGAGGGGGAGGTCTAGGGGGGGGTGTACCTGGGGGAGGTCTCGTTCGGGGCGGGTCGGGACTGGCAGGGTGGTCAGGAGGGGTAGCTGGTGCTGGTGGCCCTGGTCATCTACAATCTCTTACAGTTGATCCGTCTAAAGCGGGGATATCTTCTCGCGGAGCAGGGGGGCATGGCGTGCCGCCCTTGCCGCTGCCGTCTCCTAAAGGGAACGCCGCCGCTGCTGCCGCCGCCAACGCTGCCGCGGGCAAGCTGGGCAGCCCGAGAGGAAAATTGTCCGGGTCGCGGGCAGGCGCGCTGGGGCATTGGCCGAGAGCCGGTTTGCCCGCGAGCATTCAGCAGCAGCTGATGCTGGGGGCGATGGGCGGAGGGGCGGGCGGGGGATCAGCAGCAGGGGGAGGCGCAGCGGGACTCGCAGGGCTGGGGGGAATGCCGGGCGGTTATGCTGGCGGTGGAGGCGGCATGGGGGCGTTGGGGAATGTAGGGGGAGCGGGAATGGCGGGAATGGCAGGAATGGGGGGAATGGCTGGGCTTGCTGCTTTGAATAGCAGCAGTGATGGCAGCGGCAGTGGCGGAGGCAGTGGGAACGGAATACCCGGTATGAGTCTGCAGACGCAGTTAAGCCTGCTAGCCGCTCAGCTAGACGGCCGATTAGACGACAACAACCCCCTCTCGCGGACCAGCAGCGCGCCGCCACTTGGCGCGCTTCTCGCCAGCATCGGTGACGTGGCAGAGCTGGAGAGGCTGTACCGATTGCTCCCCGATGCCATGTCACCAGACGTCTCCCTGCACGTGGGGCTGACTTTGCCGTACCAGAGCATAGGTGCGGCGTCAGGCTCGGCAACAAGCTCGGCAGTAGGCTCGGTGGCAACGAGCCCGGACCGGGAATTGCACATGCATCGGCTGCTAGGGAGCATGGGGAGTGGTAGTATGGGTAGCATGGGCAATGGGAGCATGGGCAGTGGCAGTATGGCAGGGTATTTATCGTCAACTGTACCATCAATGGCGGCTCTTATAAGGGAGCGGACGAAGCTCTCCCGCACTAGCAGTTGCCCCCCCCCTGTGGCGGAGGACATGAGCGGGGGCGCGGGGGGAAGCGGAATGGAGGAGCGCGCGGGCGAGGGGGAGTCGTCTGAGTCTGAGGGGGAGAGCGGGCAGCGTGGGGCGGGCGCTGGGCACAAGAGGAAGAAACGCAGAGCTCCGGGAGGAGTGGGAGCGGGAGCTGACGTGGCTGGAAGGAGCGGCGTAGGCGGCAAGGTACTGGCGCGTTTGAAGATTCACTTCATCAATACCATGTGCCTAACAGTGCTCGTGTCTGCCTGCGCACTGTCTCTCGTGCACTCGTGCCTGCCTGCGCTCGTGCCTGCTGCGTCTTATTGCCTGTCCTTCCAGCACACCACTCACCAGCTCTGTCACCCCCCCCACTCCAGTTCCTTCTCCCCCGGCTCCAATCCGTCCCCCTTTCCCCCCTCGTGTTCCCCCCACTTGTTCCCCCCACTCACCGCCTGACCCTTCCCCCTCACGCCTCCGCGCGCCACCCTGCCCTCCAAGTGCAGAGGGAGCCGGAGGGCGGGCTGGGGCGCATCGTGGGGGGCATGGAGACGGCTCACAAGGCACCACGTGTTCCCCCCCCCCCCCCCCCCCCCCCCCCCCACTCACCACCTCCCCCCTCCCCCTCATGCGCCCCCCCCATCCCCCACATGCGCTTCTGCCCTGCCCCTTCCCCCTGATGTCTTCTCCGCCACCCTATCCCCCCAAGTGCAGAGGGAATCAGACGACGCGCTGGACGGTGGAGCGCGCCTGAGGGGGTGCGGAGACACTTGAGTCGACTCACAAGGCACCCCTTGCCCCCCCACTCACCGCCTCCCCCATTCCCCCCATGTCCCCTCCGCGCCACCCTTCTCCCCCCAAGTCCAGAGGGAGCCAGACGACGCGCTGGACGGTGGGGCGCGCCTGGGGGGACGCGGAGGGGGCGGGGTAGGGGGCGGGGGCGCGGGAAGCGGGGGAAGGGGAAGTGCAGGGGCATGGGGGGTGAGCCCGGGGGGCGGGTACAGCATGCAGGGCGGGGGGATGGGGGGGAGCATGCAGGCGGGGGCGATGGAAACATCGAGCCAGGACTACATTCACGTGCGGGCAAGGCGAGGGCAGGCCACTGACAGCCATAGCCTTGCCGAGCGGGTGAGTGACTTCCATAAGTGGGTTGGGAGGAGGCTTGGGGGAAGGGAAGGGCGAGGGGATTGGGGGGGGGGGGCATCCAGGGTGGGGGCGATGGAGAGATCAAGCCAGGACTACATTCACGTGCGGGCAAGAAGAGGCCAAGCCACTGAAAGCCACAGCCTTGCCGAGCGGGTGAGTGGCGGCATTTGCGGGGTTGGGGAAGGGGAGGATGATGGACAGCAGGTAGGGGCGATCTGGGGTACAATTCCCAGGACTTACATCCATGTGCGGGCGAGGCAGGGGCGAGCCACTGACTGGCACAGCCTGGTGGAGCGGAGCGGATGAGCGACGTGCCGGTTTTCATGGGGGATGGGTCCATGGGGGATAGGTTGGGGGGAAGTGGGAGGCGGGGGGGGGGGCGTTGATCCCCAGGACTACATTCATGTGCGCACGAGGAAAGGGAGGGTCACTGCCTGGCACCTTTTGAGGCGCCTCAAAACATGAGACGACTTTTGAGGCGCCTCAAAACATGAGACGACTTTTGAGGCGCCTCAAAAATGAGGGGGGGCGTCGATCCCCAGGACTACATTCATGTGTGCACGAGGAAAGGGAGGGTCTCTGCCTGGCATAGCCTGGTGGAGCGGAGCAGATGAGCGACGTAACAGCAGGGTGAGTGAGAGCGTTGGGGAGTTTCGGGGAGTGTGGGTTTGTGAATTCAGGTCACTATATTGACGTGTGGGCGAGAGTAAGGCAGCTTCACAGAGAGGGTGCACGATGGCCTTGGAGGATAGCGTTGGTGAGGGAAGAGGGGAGGAGGACTTTTGAGTCGACTCAAAAGTCAACACGTGTGGGTGAAAGTAAGGCAGCTTCACAGAGAGGGTGCGCGATGGCCTTGGAGGATAGGGTTGGTGAGGGAAGAGGGGAGGAGGAAGTGGGGCACCAGGATTCATTTCACCCGTGCGTGGGGCAAGGGCGCGCCACTGACTGCCACAGGGGTGAGAGGGGAGGTTGCAGTGAAGGGGGGTTGGGGTGAGGGGGGAGGTTGGGGTGAGAGGGGGTTGGGGTGAGAGGGGAGGTTGGGGTGAGAGGGGAGGTTGGGGTGAGGGGCGGTTGGGGTGAGGGGGGAGGGTAGGTTGAGACGGTGGGTTGGGATGAAGGGGCAGAGCTAAGCACTAAGGGCCTTGACGTGCTTTGCCACCCTCAACTCTTGCCGTTCTGTGCTGTGCAGGTGCGGCGGGAGAGGATCAGCGATCGAATGAAAGTGCTGCAGAGCCTTGTTCCCATCTGCACCAAGGTGTGCGCACTTCCCCTATTCCTCTTTCTCCTACCTGCGCTCACTGTTCTACCTCCGTCCCTCGCAATACGTAGTTAAACATGCCATGCAGGGCTGCCTTTCTTTAAGCGCCTCAGCAAGGTCCTCGTACTGGGTGGGAGGGGTAGCATCTAAATGCTTCCTCTCGTTTCTTGCCCATCCCCCTTCTACGGATGTATGCATGGTGGTGTGCATGGTGGGCATGCATGTATGGCATGCATGGTAACAGGCAACAGGCAAAGCAGTGATGCTGGATGAGATCATCAACTATGTGCGATCTCTGCAGCTGCAAGTCGAGGTGAGTCTGAGGGAATACGTAGCAATCATGAGAGCGTGAGTGTTGAAGCAACTGCATGCAGTCGCTGCACTTGGAGGTCGAGGTCCCCATTCTCATTCTCCCATCCTATTTTTGAGGCGCCTCAAAACCCTCCTCTTCAATTCCTTTCTCTCTTTTTTTTTGGAATTGTCAAAAAACTCATTCATCCTTTCTCCTCCCTCTTTATCCACTTCTCCCTTCTGCCCCACACAAAGAATTTTGCGTTCAATCCTTCTTGCCCACTCGAACCTTCACTCAACTCCCCCACCCTATGCAATCTTCGTTCTCTCCTCGCCTCCTCTCCACTCCTCGCCCCCCTAGCCCCACCCCTTACTTCCTCATGCCAACCTCACCCCGCTTCCTTTCTGCCAACCCTCCTTCCTTTCCTTTTCTCCCTTTTCCTTTCTGCCTCCTTTCCCCCCTTTTCCATTCTCCCAACCTACCCCCCTCCCTGTCACCCCCCCAGCTGCTGTCGGCCAAGCTAGCAGCAATAGAGCAGGACACTGCAGAGATGGACGGCTCAGATTCACCCGCCGACTTTTGTGCGGCCCAGATGGCAGCACTGGGAGGGCTGCTACTCCCGTCCGCCCCCGCTTCTGCCGCTGCTGCTGGCACGGGGACAGGTGGAGGTGGAAATGCCACTGCTATGGGTGGCGGTGCCACTGCTGCTGGTGCTTCGGCTGGTGCTGGTGCTTCTGGTGGTTCTGGTGGTAGTGCTGGTGCGGCTGCTGTGGCTGCTGCTGCGCTTGCAGGTGGATCGTTCCGGCAGGCATCTCCGTCCTGCTCCCAGTCTCACGATTGGTCCACCACTGATGTGAGCTCTCTTCCGCCTTTTCAGTCGACTCAAAAACCACCTTCAATTGTTCGACCACTGATGTGAGCTCTTAGCCTGCTCGTGTCAACAGTAACGCCTTCGGATGTCAAGCTACGGCCCGCTCACGTCGGCTCTCACGATTGCTGATGTCAGCTCTCACAATTGCTGATGTCAGCTCTCACGATTGCTGATGTCGGATCTAAACCATGCCAAATACTCCCTTCTGGTCCCATGTTATTCTCTATCTATATGGCACCTTTCCCCTTTCAATCCTCTCACCCTCTTCTTCCATCCCGCCGCCCCAACCCTCTCCACCCTCTCACCACTCTCCACCCTCTCACCACTCTCCACCCTCTCACCACTCTCCACCCTCTCACCACTCTCCACCCTCTCACCCGTCTCCACCCTCTCACCCCTCTCCACCCTCTCACCCCTCTCCACCCTCTCACCCCTCTCCCCACTCTCCGCCCTCTTTTCTTTTACTCCTGTCTCCCAGTCGGCCCATCACAGCACAGCATCGCCCATGGCCACACCATCAGCATCAGCATCAGCGTCACTGGGAGCAGCGGCCGCCCTGCACCCGGACATGGCCTCCCTCCCCACTGACCTCGCCCGCCTCCTCCTCTCCCGCCACCTGCCCAACCTCCCCTTTGCGGGAGCCGCCGGGGGTGCGGGGGGAACAGGAGGGGGAGCGGCTGGCGGGGAGGAGATGAGGGGAGATGGCGGGGGAGGAATGGGGGGAGGCGGGGGAGGAATGGGGGGAGGCGGAGGAGGAATGGGGGGAGGCGGAGGGGGAATGGGGGGAGGCGCGGGGGAGGGGCTGGGGGAGCTGACAATGGAGCAGCTGCAGGCGCAGCTGGATGTTATGAATGGGGTAGGTGCGGGGGGAGGGGGAGGGGGGGGGGAGGGGGAGGGGGGGGAGGGGGGCCTGCCACACATGGGTGTGCAGTGTGAAGTGGGTGTTTAGGTCGACTGAAAAATCACTGTGAAGTGAGGTTGGGCATCCAGTGTGAGGTGGGTGTTTGAGCTGACTGAAAAAAGCACTGTGAGGTGAGGTGGGGCGTGCAGTGTGAGGTGAGAGGTGGGGCATGGAGCAGGTTGGGGTGTGCGGTGGGTGGGGAATGGCTCCACCTGGAATGGCTCCACCTGGAATGGCTCCACCTGGAAAGGCTCCACCTGGAAAGGCTCCACCTGGAATGGCTCCACCTGGAATGGCTCCACCTGGAATGGCTCCACCTGGAATGGCTCCACCTGGAATGGCTCCACCTGGAATGGCTCCACCTGGAATGGCTCCACCTGGAATGGCTCCACCTGGAATGGCTCCACCTGGAATGGCTCGACCTGGAATGGCTCCACCTGTAATGGCTCCATGGCACAGGTTTACCTGCATGTGACTGGAGTCCTGCAGCACAGAGTTCTCTTGCGCTGCTCTCTGCTCATCATTTCCTTGTCTTTTCCCTCTTTGCACCTCTGCTTTCAGTCGCCTCCCCAGAATCGCCCAGCTTGTTCCGTTTCTCGACCCCCCTCCCCCTCACACCGGCCTTGAAGAGCCAAATGGAAAGCTAGAAGTCGATGCAGTAGGCGCTGCTTTCAGTCGGGTCCTTATTCTCTCCTGCTCTTCCCCCCGTGCCTCCCTGCTCCTTGCACCCACTCTCTGCCTGTGGGCTGGTTGTCTTGAGAGAATACTAGCAGCAGCAGCAGCAGCAGCAGCAAGGTGACTTATGACTCGATTCAAATGTCCCCACTCCCCTCATCCATTTCTTGAGTCCATTCAAAAGACGACCAAAAAAGACAACACAACTGAAGAGTCGACGCAAAAGCTCCCCCCCGTGGCCCCCATGCTCCTCATACTGTGCAGTGGGATGGTGGGCTTGAGAGCATAGTGGCAAAAGCAGCGATTTGACTGTTCAGTCTTCTCAACCCCCCCCCCCCTCTCGTGCCCCCCATGCTCCTCTCTCCCACCCACCCTCGTGCAGTGGGATGGTGGGCTTGAGAGTGTAGTGGCAGCAGCAGCTGCCATGTGACTTTTCAGTCGACTCAAATGCCCCCCCGTGCCCCCCATGCTCCTCTCTCCCACCCGCTGGCAGTGGGATGGTGGGCTTGAGAGCATAGTGGCAGCAGCAGCAGCCATGCCGCCTTCCCAGCAGGCCCAGTCAGCTTCAGGCAACAGCCACTCGGCCAATAACCAACCCGCGTCAGGTATGCCGTGCCATGCTGCTGTCTGTATCAGGTGCATCAGCTAAACCGCACGAAAACACGTCTCACCACATGATAATCATCTCCTGAACGCCTCTTGGAAACCGGCTTTTTCTCTTCACTCAACTTCGTAACCTGCTTTCTCCTTCCTCGCCTCTGTCTCACTCGTGCCATCTGTCCCTCCATGCTGCAGGATCACCTTCCCTGTCCCAGCAGTCTGGTGCAAGGCACTGAACCACACCACACCACACCATGCATTCTTCCTTACATTCCAAGCCCACCATCCATTTCTTTATTTCAAACTCACTGCATCGAAGGTGACAGCCCTTAGCACCCCGACTACACTTCACGGTGTAAATATTCTCGAGAGATTTGACCTAGTTACTGTTAGGGATACTCGTTTGATGTGGTTCTTGCCTGAAAAGGTGTACCTTCGGCCTGCAAATTGCAGGCTTCTGCAGAAGTACAAAGCCTAGGTAGTGATAATATATTGTGTTAATAGGTGTAGTTCCTCCTCTCAAAATGTTGTCGTTCCAGCCACTCAATAGTGTGGCATGTGACGCGTGTTGTTGTCAGCGCATTCAGTGGCATGCAGCGTGAGCCGCGCATTAGCCCCTCAAAATGTCGCGATCACCACCGCCATTGGCATTTCCTCTCCTCTCCGACTCCGCCATTAGTTCCCCTGAATGCCAGCTGCGGCTTGAAGGAGTGAAGCGCGGTGTGTGTCTCCGCGCCGCATGCGCAGAGCCGATCGATACACATAGCCAGCAAGCATGTCGTCTCATCTCTCTCACACTCGTTCATCATTGGATGGAACCGCTCCTTCAAGCCAGCAGCTACGCTCTTCACCGCTGTCTGTTCGTCTATGGCGTGGTAGTCACATCAGTTCGTTCTCCGCTTCACCGTTAGCTCAACTAGTTTTCCCTTCGCATTCTACCACCGCAGCTCCCTCTACTCTTCACCTCGGTCTGCTAGTATCAGCATGGAGGAGTAATTTCAAGTCGTGCGGAACAACTGAATCTGCGCGAAAGAAAGCACTCAGCTCAGCTCGTTATCTTCTCTACCCCTTTAAGGGTCTATAGCCAGCGGGCGACAGCATCCTAAGTATGGAGTCACACCAGTCCATGAGCGATTCTCTCCGCGCCCACCTCTCCGCGCTTCACGGCGAGGCGCGCCGACGGCTCCCCGCGGCCCTGGCGAGCGCGCAGGTCGCTTCTGTGTGTTTTGCTGCCGTGCTGGTGCTTGTGCTGTTGCCGCTGGGGCTGTGGATCGGACGGCTGGGAATGGGCGTCAAGATGATCTACGGCTTTGTGTTGGGGATTGCGTGCTCGCTACTGTACTCTTCGCTTGCAATGCGGAATGCGCGACGGAGAGAAAGGAAGGTACAATGCGAGTGATGACGTTCCAATTGGGAGGGGAAAAGTACAGTAAAGTTGCACATCAAGCTCTTCGTCCAAATAACGTGTACAGTAACAGTATAAAGAATGTCTAAACTGCACTTTCAGGCTTTCATCACAGGTGTGCATGATTGTACTTTTGCAATTTCATTTCGAATTCCAACGAGCAGGCCCTTGTTTTGCGACGGATGGACTGGGAAATGTCAGTGGACGAGATTCTTCGATTGGCTGGATTCAGTGAGGGCAATTGCACATCCTCATGCCAAAAGCTGCATACCTTTCAGGTAATGTCTGGAGTTAAGAGAAATTCCACTTGATGGCACTCATCACCTATGCATATTTCGGTGCATATTCATTCGTTCAAGTGCCTAAAACATCCTGGCCATTTTGTTCATGGACGCTCATTATTTGTGCATTCTTGGGTGTATGTGGAGTAACTCTTGGGCAGTTGGCATGGGTGAACGCGGCAGTGCGGCAGATGTGGCCAGAGCTGCGCAAAGCAAGCACGGACATGCTGAAGAGCAGTCTGAGGGGGCTGTTGGAGGGGTACCACTTCGGCATCATCACCGGCATTGACGTGCGATCCGTGGACCTGGGACCCGATCCCCCCACCATCACCGGTGAGTAAGCTCAAAGCTCATGTTGCATCGCAGGGCAAGCACGGAGATACTGCAGAGCAGCCTTTGAGGGCTGTTTGCAGGGTACCAATTGGGCATCATCACCGGCATTGACGTGCGATCCGTGGACCTGGGACCCGATCCCCCCACCATCACCGGTGAGTAAGCTCAAAGCTCATGTTGCATCGCAGGGCAAGCACGGAGATACTGCAGAGCAGCCTTTGAGGGCTGTTTGCAGGGTACCAATTGGGCATCATCACCGGCATTGACGTGCGATCCGTGGACCTGGGACCCGATCCCCCCACCATCACCGGTGAGTAAGCTCAAAGCTCATGTTGCATCGCAGGGCAAGCACGGAGATACTGCAGAGCAGCCTTTGAGGGCTGTTTGCAGGGTACCAATTGGGCATCATCACCGGCATTGACGTGCGATCCGTGGACCTGGGACCCGATCCCCCCACCATCACCGGTGAGTAAGCTCAAAGCTCATGTTGCATCGCAGGGCAAGCACGGAGATACTGCAGAGCAGCCTTTGAGGGCTGTTTGCAGGGTACCAATTGGGCATCATCACCGGCATTGACGTGCGATCCGTGGACCTGGGACCCGATCCCCCCACCATCACCGGTGAGTAAGCTCAAAGCTCATGTTGCATCGCAGGGCAAGCACGGAGATACTGCAGAGCAGCCTTTGAGGGCTGTTTGCAGGGTACCAATTGGGCATCATCACCGGCATTGACGTGCGATCCGTGGACCTGGGACCCGATCCCCCCACCATCACCGGTGAGTAAGCTCAAAGCTCATGTTGCATCGCAGGGCAAGCACGGAGATACTGCAGAGCAGCCTTTGAGGGCTGTTTGCAGGGTACCAATTGGGCATCATCACCGGCATTGACGTGCGATCCGTGGACCTGGGACCCGATCCCCCCACCATCACCGGTGAGTAAGCTCAAAGCTCATGTTGCATCGCAGGGCAAGCACGGAGATACTGCAGAGCAGCCTTTGAGGGCTGTTTGCAGGGTACCAATTGGGCATCATCACCGGCATTGACGTGCGATCCGTGGACCTGGGACCCGATCCCCCCACCATCACCGGTGAGTAAGCTCAAAGCTCATGTTGCATCGCAGGGCAAGCACGGAGATACTGCAGAGCAGCCTTTGAGGGCTGTTTGCAGGGTACCAATTGGGCATCATCACCGGCATTGACGTGCGATCCGTGGACCTGGGACCCGATCCCCCCACCATCACCGGTTAGTAAGCTCAAAGCTCATGTTGCATCGCAGGGCAAGCACGGAGATACTGCAGAGCAGCCTTTGAGGGCTGTTTGCAGGGTACCAATTGGGCATCATCACCGGCATTGACGTGCGATCCGTGGACCTGGGACCCGATCCCCCCACCATCACGGTTGCACGCTGTGCTGTGTGGTGTGTGTGACACTATTACCCCCCTCCCCTTCCCCAACACCCACCATCACTGGTGCGTGCTGAGCTGTGTAGTGTGTGGGAACCTAACCCTTCACCGTTACTGGTGCGTGGGTGAGTAGTATGTGTCAGTGTGTAAACATATGACATGGTTCGTTTGCAGGATTTGCCCATTGTCCTTACCTCCCAACGCCCCTCCCAATGCCCTCAGCTGTGCGGGTGCACAGGGGAGGGCCAGACAATGGGCAGGCGCAGAGAGACAAGCAGCGCAGCAGAGCAGCACAGGAAGAGGGCTCCGCACAGGGGGGTGGAGAGGGAGGCGGAGGAAAGGGGGAGGCAGGAGTGGTAACAGTGGCAGAGGCGAAGGAACAGGCGGAAAGGCGGATTCGTGGTGGTGCAGAGGCACAGGTGTTGGGGAAGGGGCAGGGGGAGGGGATGGGGCAGAGGGAGGAGCAAGGGCAGGGGGAAGGGGAGGGGCAGGGGAAGGGAGAAGGAGAGGGGGAAGGAGTCTGGGAGGAGAAGAGGGGGGGGGCAGAGGCGAAGGAGCAAGGGCAGGGGGGCGAGGGAGAAGGCGAGGGGGGAGGGGGGAGGAGGAGCAGAAGGAGGAGTAGCAGAGGAAGGAATAGCAGAGGAAGGAGTAGCAGAGGAAGGAGTAGCAGAGGAAGGAGTAGCAGACGAGGTGATAGCAGAGGTGGTAGTGGAGTGGGTGGAGGGGCGAGTGCAGCAGCGCAGCATGCGGCTGAGAGTGCAGACCGCCATGAGCCCAGATGTGGACGTGCAAGTGAGCAGCATCGCTGCTGCTGCCACCCTCAAACTCACCCTCAAACCGCTGCTGCCCCGCTTACCCGGGTTCGGCGCCGTGCTGCTCTCTCTGCTCAACCAGGTGACCTGTTTTTGTTTTTTTTTTTAATTATAATTTTAGTAATTTTATATATGTTATATATATACTGGAATTCCCAGAACCTGTTCACACATGCTGATGTTGCTGCTCAACCATTTTGTGTTGGAGCTGTTTTGCAGCAGAAGTTGAAAGGCCGATTTCAGTGTGCTGCTGTCACTGCCCAACCAAGTGGGGCCTTCTCACTGCATTCGCTGCATGCTGGCAGCCCTTCTTTTAGCCACTCTCCCATTCTCTATCCCCTTTTCTGTTCCACCCTCCGCCCGCTCGCCCTTCCCCCACTCTTACCGAGGCAGCCATTCTTTGACTTCAAGGTGTCAGTGATGGGAGGTAATCTCAAGGCCATGCCGGGATTTGAAAAGATGATTGAGGTGACATGCGCGCTCTTGCTCCCACAAGCCTTCACCACCTCTCACATGCCTTTCACCGCTTCTCAAGTGCATTCACCGCCTCCCATATGCCTCTCACATGCTACATTGTAATCCTCTCTTCATTCGCAGATGCCCATTATTTCTTAAAGCCTGAATGCGTGCTGCTTCACCAGGGCCATGGTCCCATGCTTTGCCACACAACCCTGACCATACCTCACTCCCTCTCACCCCACCCCACTCTATCCCTTCCAAATTCCCATCCCTCCCTTCCCTTTCCTCCCCCGCCCATACATCTCCCTGCATCCCTAACTTCCCCGCCCCGTTCTGCCCCCCACCTTCCTCACCACCACCCCTCTGGGCACAGACGGTGCTGCGCCTGTCAATCGACGATTCCCTTGTGTGGCCCTCGCGATGGGTGTACCCTGTCGTGGAGGGTGACTTCAGGTAGTACCCTGTCGTGGAGGGTGACTTCAGGTAGTACCCTGTCATGGAGGGTGACTTCAGGTACTGCCCTGTTATGGAGGGTGACTTCAGGTAGTACCCTGTCATGAAGGGTGACTTTAGGTAGTACCCTGTAATGGAGGTTGATTTCAGTTTATGCCTCATGGAAATCGGCTTCAAGTAATGCCCTGTCGTGGAGGGGAGCTTTAGTTAATGCCCTGTTACAGAGGCTAAGTTCAGAGTAAATCTCCTTGCGCCGCCCCTTCATCTCCACCTTAACCTACAACTCTTCCAGTTTCCTGGAGCTCATCCCAGTGGGGTACCTAGACGTTTCACAGATAGAGGCGGAGGGGCTCCCCAAGACAAACGTGCTGACAAGAGCTGCTGACCCGATATTACTCCAAACCTCCCCCTCCTTCTCACCCGCATCCCCCGCCTTATGTTCTCTGCACCAACACCTCCAGTTTCCTGGAGCTCACCCCAATGGGTACCTAGACGTATCACTGATCGAGGCGGAGGATCTGCCCAAGACGGACGTGCTGACAGGGCTGCATGCCCTCCCTGCATCACACACACATCCCCTTGGTTCCCCCAGCTCTCCTCTCTTGTCTTCTCCCCCCTTGCTTCTGTCGTTTCCTCAACCTCACCCCAGTGGGGTACCTAGACGTGTCACTGATCGAGGCGGAGGATCTGCCCAAGATGTTGCAGGTTGTTTTTGAGAACTCTCAAACACAACCTGCAACAGGCGGAGGATCTGCCCAAGACGGACGTGCTGATCCGTTTGCGTCACACACACATCCCTTTGGATGCCCCCTCTCCACTCGTTCCCCCCCATTCCCCACTTCCCCGCACACCCGCAGTTTCCTGGAGCTCACACCAGTGGGGTAGCTAGACGTGTCGCTGATAGAGGCGGAGGGGCTTTCGAAGACGGGCGTGCTGACCAGTGCTGCAGTCTCATTTGCCTGGGTGCCGCCTCCTTCATGCCCGCCTGTCCCCCTTCCTCCAGTTTCCTCGAGCTCACCCCAGTGGGGTACCTAGACGTGTCGCTGATAGAGGCGGAGGGGTTGCCCAAGACAGACGTGCTGACAGGCGCTGCTGACCCGTTCGTGCTGCTGTATGTGCGGCAGCGGGAGGGGGCCATCAAGCGCAGCAGCACCGTTCACCACTCCCGCCACCCCACGTGGAATGAGGGGTTTATACTTGAGGTGAGGGGGGGGGGTGGGGTGGGAGTGACAAGGCGGTGAATTGAAGCACCTCACTGTGCTGCTGTGCGTGCGGCAGCGGGAGGGCATTATCAAGCGCAGCAGCACCGTGCACCACTCCCGCCACCCCACGTGGAACGAAGGGTTTATTCTTGAGGTGAGGGGGATTCGTTCCTGATGTAAGAAGAGGAAGGAGCAACAAGGCAGTGATTTGAAGTGGGCGTTCATCGTTCAAATGAAGAGGGGTGCGTGCGGTGGTGTAGTATCAATATTGGAAACTGAAAGCACCGCGCGGTGCAGTAGCCTCCATTACTGCACTATTCTTTCAGAATGAAACATTATCGCGCGGTGCAGTTCTTGCGAGTTCTGAGACTTCTCAGAGCTCGCAGTAATGGTTGAACGACTAGCCCCTGCGCTGCATGCCTCTGCTGGCATGCATCATGCATGCTCCGTGCATCACCCTGCACTGCAGATGTTCCCCACATGCCCACTGCATGCCCCTGTTGCTCTGCTCTATCCTGCTGCCCCTTACAACTGACTTCTCACGCTTTCTCCCTCTCCCCCACCACCATGCGAGCAGGTGCTGACCATTTGACAGCTTGCTGATCCCCTTCACTCCCTCTTTCCATCCTTCTTGCTCCGCGCCCCACTCCCTCTACCATGCTTCGCCCCTCCCCCCCCTGGCACAGGTGGAGGACCCGGACTCACAGCAGCTGACGATCCGACTAATGGACAGCGAGCGGTTTGAGAAGTCGGAGTTCATTGGAGCCCACATGCTGCTGCTCCACACGGTATGCCCACCTGTTGTTAAATTCACTCATGAGAATTCTCTGCTCACATGCACACTGCCGTTCCGTCTAGAATGCCGCTCACGTCCTCGTAACGAAATCAGCCCCCCTTTTTTCCCCCTACTCTCCCACTTCCCTCTTCATATCAGTTGCAATTCCTCTCTTCCCATTCTTCACGTCCCTCATGTCTACACCTGTAAAACAAGATGGGACTCGTGTCCCTTTCCTTCATTCCTCTCTCGTTTCGCCCTTCGAGTCCCACAGCTCCCCTTTCTTTCCCCTACTCTCCCGTTCCATCACAGCTGCACCCCAACAAGGCACAAGACCTGTGGCTCGACCTGTACGATAAGCCCGAGACTCATGAGAGTGCGAGCACTCACGGGCGGGTGCATGTGGTGGTGATGTTTGTGCCGTACACGCAGCGAGAGGGGGGAGGGGAGAGTGCTGCAGAGGGGGAAGGAGGGAGAAGTTAGTGCAGTTGGGGAGGAGAGAAGGAGTGAGGTGGAAGCAGAACAGAAAAGGCCGGACAGCATAGGGGATGGGGGAAGAGCAGGAGGTTAGAGAGGTGGCCTAACCCTCCAGTGAGAGTGCGAGCACACACGGGTGCATGCACGTGGTGGTGATGTGTGTGCCGTACACGCAGCGAGAGGGGGGAGGGGGGAGGGCTTCTGAAGGGGGAACGGAGAGACAAGTTGTGGGGAGGAGAGCAGCGGGGGTGTAGTGGAAGCAGAGGGGGAAAAGGTGACGGCATAGTGGGGGACGAACGGGAGGATAGACAGGTGCTGAAACTCTCCCTTGAGAGTGCGAGTGCACATGGGCGTGGGCATGTGGTGGTGATCTATGTTCCGTGCACGTTTTGAGGCGCCTCAAAACTAGACTTCTCTCACGCGGATTGTATGTAGATAGGATTTTTGTTGCTTGGAAAATGGGGTGTAGCTTATCAAGGCTACTGGTGCGCGCGCGACTCTCGAGTTTGCGAAGTGGCGAAGATGCAGGCCATGTTACTCACGAAGACACTGTCGAGGAATGAAGACGTGGCTCCTTGGAAGTACCAGGGCAGCCTGGATTGGTCCCCATCTTTTTGGGTTGACCAGGGTGAAGATACCGGTAGCCTAGGGATTTGTACATTTCGGTGGTTAGCCTTTCTTGCTTTGCTTTAGAAGGCTAGGCCTCGCTCGCTCACATTCTTTCATTTGGCACCGATGAAGGCTTGCTGGGGGCTTCCCTACAGCCGAAACATGTTTGTCCGTGTTTTAGCCATTGCTTAGTGAAGAGCTCCGACTTTACAGAACCCTACACGAATCAGCTAGGATTGTACTACAACTGTTTTCTCCTTTGCTAAGACTTCTCCTTAGAAACTGCTGCTCGCTGGAATGTCTGAACATACGCGTGGGCATGTGGTGGTGATGTATGTTCCGTGCACGCAAATGGAGAAGAGATGGGGGATTGCTGCTAAGGGCGCATCACCTCGGGGCTGGAAGGCCCAAATCCGAACATACGTAACGAATTCACTGTACGAACAGTTTCCCGACGAGATCCGAACACAAATTTGAACACCTTGGTGAATGTGACAGCTCGTGACTAGAGGTGACAGCCTGTTCGAACATGCGACGTCGCCAAGTGCTGGACGACTTCGCGAAACGTCGCAAAAAAATAATTCTGTCGTCTGCCATTCAAGTTTGACTCATTTTTCGCCCATCCAGTCAAACAGTCTCTTCGTGCTCTTCTACTACTGCTCACCTTGTTGTTTCCCAACAACAATGTCCTTTTTGATGAACTTTCTCCTGCATGGCGACATTTGCAATGGTCGCAAACATTCGAGTGCGACCCGAAGCCTGCTAACCAATAAAATCAGTCGTCCATGCGGAATTCCTGTCACCAAACCCAACTTTGTTCGAACAACTCTGTTCGAACGTGCGGAATGGAGAGCTTCGTGCCCCGTGTGACAACTCTGCTCAAATTCGCGAAATTTCCGACTAGCGACGTCACGAACACCCATACGAGGAGTGGCGAAAAATGTAACATTTCGCCTGTTCGAACAACCGTCCTGTTCGAACTGAGAGGTGAAGCGCCCTAAAAGGGAACATGAAGGGAGGATTGTTGCAGAAGGGAAGGGAGTGCAGTTGTGGAGGAGAAAGGAGGGGGGAGTGTGGTGCCAGGCTGCCAGCAGGACAGGCAGTGGAGGGGAGGAGTTGGGGGGGGGGTGATAGATGCTGTGATTGCATTAACGCAAGCAGCTGAGCTTGGTGAATGAGATACAAGCCAACAATCAAAGCTTACGATCACGGTGGGACTCGAACCCACAATCTCCCGCTCCGGAGGCGAGCGCCTTATCCATTAGGCCACGCGACCCACGGTAATTGAAACCAAAATAAATATTAGTCAAATACATTGTTTCCTGCATGTTAAAAAAGACGTTTTCCAGAAGCGAAAAGCGACCTAATAATCAAGTGACATTTCAGAAGCACAGACTAGGCCTCGTTTCATTAATAATAAGCAGATATGGACGAAGACTTCCCGCCGATGCTGGACGTGCCGGGCTTCGGCATTCAGCTACCAGGCAGAGTGAGTTCCGCACCGCGTAGCGCGCCAATGCTAGCTCGCCACCGCTGCGCGCCGTGCTTGCTGTCCTCAGCCGCTGCTACCTGTTGTCTGCCTGTTGCTGCCTTCTGCCTGCCTGTTGCTACGTGTTGCTGCCGTATCCGTTGCCCCCGGCCCGTGTCTCCGTGTCTTACCCGCGCCATTGTTCTCCCCGTCCTCCCCGCATCCGCTCCCCCGCCTCGCGCGCGCGTTTCCCGCAGACCGCGGAAGACAGCAACCTCAACTTCCTGTAAGCTCCCCCGCGCCCCTCTCTCCCCGCGCCACTCCTTCTCCCCCCCCCCCCCCCCCCCCCCCCCCCCTCTCCCCACCCTTCGCTGTCTTTCCCGCCTTTGACGCTGCCGTTTTTCTCTCATGCACGCAGCCTCCTGCAATGCCTTCCCATCTTCCCTCCCTCCCACTCCCCCACTCCTCTGCTTGTCTCCCCATCTGCCTTCCCCCTTTCTCTTCCTCCCCATCCCCTCTCCCTCCCTCATGTACCTTCCCCCTTTATCTGCCTTCCCCGCTTGTCTGCCCTCGTCTCGTCGGGAGAGGCGGGATCACACTGCTCTCTTGAGGCGTCTCAAAATTCGTCTCTTTCCCTCTCCACGTTTCCCCTTGCTCCGCCTCCCCCTCCGCCTGCCCTTCCACGTTGCGCCCACCAGCACGGACAGTGGCACGGCCAACTTCGGGCACGTGGCCGTGGGGAGAGGAGGGCTCAGAGTGCCGGATCAGCAGCAGCAGGTGAGCACTGGATTGCCACAGGACCACAGGTTCGGATTACCAACGCACAGGTTCGGATTACCAACGCACAGGTTCGGATTACCAACGCACAGATGCGTGGAAGCACTGCTAGACATTGGATCCTTCCAGGTAGGTTCCTTACCCCCCAATCCTCCCTCCACTTGCCACATGCACCGATTTCACCACGACCCCTTCCCCTTCCCCTTCCCCTACCCGTTCCCCGTCCCCTTCCCCTTCCCCTTCCCCTTCCCGTTCCCCTTCCCCTTCCCCTTCACCTTCACCTTTGCTCCCCTTTTCCACCTACTTCTCAACCCACCCCTCACAGCACCACGACGCACCCTCCCATATCCCATTTTCCCCTCCACGCACCCCTCCATCCCCTCACAGGAGGCCAATTTCATGCGCCTGGCCCGGCGAATCTGAGAAACATGGAGCTGCTGGGTCGGGGGGCGAGCGCGGCACTGTACCTGCTGCAGCATGTTTTTGAGACGTCCCAAAAACACTCTTCTTTCACGCGGCACTGTACCTGGTGCAGCATGTGCCTTCCCTGTCCCCTTTCCCTTAGCCCCAAGACAACCCCCCCCACTCCAACCCAACCCTCCCCTCACCCCCCTCACCCCCCTCCGTCCCGTCACAGCAGGACAACTCATTGCGGCTGGCGGATCTGAAAAAGGTGGAGCTTCTGGGGCGGGGGGCGAGTGCAGCAGTGTATCTGGTGCAGCATGCGCGCACGGGGCAGCAGTACGCACTCAAGGACATGCAGCTGAACATGGATGCTGACGTGCAGAAGCACGTGGGGAACGAACTCAGGATCAACCACCAGTGCCGCTCGCCCCATGTCGTCCGCTGCTACCAGGTATGCTGGGGTGTGCTGTGCTGTGCGGTGCTATGCGATGCTGTGTGGCCAACTAGTCGTTTGAGCCATCTCAGAAATCTCTCCACCTCTCTGCACCTCTGCGCACCTCCTCTATCCAGGCCTTGGTGGGCGACAGGCACCTCTTTATTGTGCTGGAGTGCATGGACGCGGGGTCGCTAGCAGCACCTCCCCAGCACCCACCCAGCACCCTCTTAACTTCCCCACCACTCTGCACCCCCTCTGGCCCCTCTCCAGGCCTTGGTGGGCGACAGGCACCTCTTTATCGTGCTGGAGTGCATGGACGCGGGGTCGCTAGCAGCACCTCCCCAGCACCCTCTTAACTTCCCCACCACTCTGCACCCCCTCTGGCCCCTCTCCAGGCCTTGGTGGGCGACAGGCACCTCTTTATCGTGCTGGAGTGCATGGACGCGGGGTCGCTAGCCAAACGTGCTGCAGCTAGTGGGTGGAATCACCAAGCCCACCCTCCCATCCCCTCAACCCCGCTCCACCACTCTGAACCCCTCCTATCCAGGCCTTTGTGGACGAAGGGCATCTCTTCATAGTGCTCCAACACATGGACGCGGGGTTGCTGGCCGATGCCCTTCTCAGCAACCTCTCAGCACCCTCTCACTCCCTCAACCACTCTCCACCACTCTGAACCCCTTCTGGCAGGCATTCGTGGACGACGGGCATCTGTTTATAGTGCTCGAATACATGGACGCCGGATCTCTCGCAGACGTGCTGCAGGCGGTGGGCCGGATCACGGAGCCGTACCTGGCAGCCATCTCCCGCCAGGCCTTGCAGGGCCTGCGCGACCTGTACCAGGGCCACCGCATCATCCACCGCGACATCAAGCCCAGCAACATGCTTCTCAACCAGTCGGGGTGCTTGAAGATCAGCGACTTTGGCGTCAGCCGCGTGCTCGAGAACAGCTACGATGTCGGGAACACGTTTGCTGGGACTTACACTTACATGTCGGTGCGTTGTTGTGAGGCAGGGGCAGGGGCAGGGGCAGGGGCAGGGTGGGCAGGGTGGTTCATGTGGCGAATGCTGTTTTAGCACTGTGGTGTCCGATCTCACTCTGAAAAAACAGGGTAAACAGGGTAAGCAGGCTTAACAGGGTAAACAGGGTAAGCAGGCTAAACAGGGTAAACAGGGTAAGCAGGCTAAACAGGGTAAACAGGGTAAGCAGGCTAAACAGGGTAAACAGGGTAAGCAGGCTAAACAGGGTAAATAGGGTAAGCAGGCTAAACAGGGTAAACAGGGTAAGCAGGCTACACAGGGTAAAACGCCCTGCAATCCAGAGGCCTGCTCCTGACCACCAACGGACATGATTCCCACCCCTCCCTCCCCATAATCCCTCGCACAACAGCGACGTGTGCTGCTTTTTTGGCTGAGCCTGATCGAGTGTGCCATCGAGTGTGCCATCGAGTGTGCCATCGAGTGTGTCATCGAGTGTGTCATCGAGTGTGCCATCGAGTGTGTCATCGAGTGTGCCATCGAGTGTGTCATCGAGTGTGCCATCGAGTGTTCCATCGAGTGTGTCATCGAGTGTGTCATCGAGTGTGCCATCGAGTGTGTCATCGAGTGTGTCATCGAGTGTGCCATCGAGTGTGCCATCGAGTGTTCCATCAAGTGTGCCATCATTTCCCTCTCAGCTCCCCCCGTTCCCTCCCCCCTGCCCCATCAGCCGGAGCGCATAATGGGCAGGACCTATTCGCACAACAGCGACGTGTGGGTGCGTGGTGCCAGTCACACCCTCCTCTTCTCATTCCCATCCCCTCCGTTTCCCCCCCTTTCCCTCACCTTAACCAGCCGGAGCGCATAATGGGCAGGACCTATTCGCACAACAGCGACGTGTGGGCGTTCGGGCTGAGCCTGCTGGAGTGTGCCATAGGCCAGTACCCCTACCGCCCCGCCTCTGGAGGCTCCTTCAACTATTTCGATCTGCTCTCGGAGATTTCCAACTCGCCGGCTCCCATTGCTCCGCCGGACTACTTCTCGCCGCAGTTCTGCGAATTCGTGGCGCTCTGGTGGGTTGGGTGGTGTGCTTTCCGGCAGGTGGGTGGGCGGTGGATGCAGTGCGGTGTAGTGCAATCTGGTGGGGGTTCTGCTGCTGGTGCTGTGGTGGGGGGATGGGTGGGGAAATGGGTGGGGGGATGGGTGGGGAAATGGGTGGGGGGATGGGTGGGGAAATGGGTGTGTGGGTGGGTGGGCGGGTGGGTGGGTGTTCTGCCATTCTGAGGAGGCGCCTTCAGCTATTTCGATCTGCTCTCGGAAATTTTCCAACTTGCCGGCTCCCATTGCTGTGCCGCAGTTCTGCGAATTCGTGCGCGCTCTAGTGGGTGTGCCGTGCAGTTCGTGTGTTCTGTGTCAGTGCGGCCACGTGCACTCGTGTGCGGCCATGTGCACTCGTGTGCGGCCATGTGCACTCGTGTGCGGCCACGTGCACTCGTGTGCGGCCATGTGCACTCGTGTGCGGCCACGTGCACTCGTGTGCAGCCATGTGCACTCGTGTGCGGTCATGTGCACTCGTGTGCGCTCCCTCCAACCTACCTGTTTCCCTTCTCGCCGCACTTTTGCAACTTGTTGTGCTCCCTTATGCTGGGCCATGTTGAAATCACCCCGCCATTCTCAGTCCACCGTAACAGTTTATTCTCACTTCAGCCCTCTCGCTTCACCCCCCTTCGTCCGATTCTCAACTCACCCCCTTTATCTTACTCTCACTCCACCCCCTCTATCCCATCCTCCACTCCTCCTCCCCCTGCAGTCTTCAGAAGGACCCCAGCCAGCGGCCATCAGCGGAGCAGCTTCTTGTGACTCCAGCATTCCCTTCCCACCCTTGGCCCATCTGGATCCCCCTCTGCTTTCCCAATTCCCGCCCTTGACACGTCCCCCCTGCAGTCTTCAGAAGGACCCCAGCCAGCGGCCATCAGCGGAGCAGCTTCTTGTGAGTCCAACGTGCCATCTGCCATGCCATGCCATGCTGTGGCATGGGCTGTGTGTTTTAGGTAGTGGCATGTGACATGGGTGGCTGGTTACATAGCATGGCGCCTGCATATACGTCTGACTTTCCTATACCCGATTCAAGTGTTTTTTTTGTCTTAAACATCTCCTGGTTTACTGTACTTAGCCTGGCCTTCGAATTTCCTCTCCCCTTCTCCCTGCTGCTGTCTGTCCCTCCCCTCCAACCTCCTCCCCATGACCAATCAGAATCATCCGTTCCTCCACCTACATCCTGACACCAGCCTCCAACCACTCGTGGGTGGCGAGTGATGGCACACTCACTAGCTTCTGTTTCACTAGCCATGCTAGCCTACTAACACTCTTGTGTTCTTTTTTCTAGTACCTTTCACTCCTGAATTTTGTTGTGTTTGCTGATAATTAGGGAAAAGGTGGTATGAATTATCAGACACCATGTCCACATGAGACGTTAGAAATGAAGATGAACTAGTTTGCAGGATGACAACAAAAACAAATACAAAATCATACTAAAAAACCGTAGATGCAGGTCGCGTGGCCTAATGGATAAGGCGCTCGCCTCCGGAGCGGGAGATTGTGGGTTCGAGTCCCACCGTGATCGTTCTCTTACCGTAGGAAACCTCTGAAAGGTTTGACGATTTTGTCTCCTTGGCCACTCTGCTGCTGCTCTCCCCGGGTCTTTTCACATCAAAATTAATAAATAATACAATACTGGACACGAGTTGGAGCCGTACAGATGTAAGGCAGTCCAGCACATGAACAGTTTCAAGAACAGGGCTGAAATCTTTACTCCTACACTGATGTGCCGGTACCTCCGAATGATCATTTTGGACACTACTCTGCACCACTTACAGCTGATGTTGATTCAGTTCTTGGTGTTGATAAGTTGAATAATACTAAAATTGAATACAGGTTGCAGTCATACAGGAGCGATGCAAGGCAGTCATACAGGAGCGATGCAAGGCAGTCGTACAGGCGCAATGCAAGGCAGTCGGTCACATGAGCAGCTTCAACAACAGGGCTGACTTCTGAACCGTCGTCTTCCACTAATGTACTCCCTGCTGGTCACCCTGACCATTATCCACTTGCTGCAACACCTGGTGCTGCTGCTGCTGCTGATGGAAATCCTGTCGCTGCTGCTGATCCGATTGCACCTGGTAAAGTTGCTGCAGAGACCGATGCCGATCCTCTTCCTGCTGGCCCTGTGCCTGCTGTCTTAGCAAATTTACACGTGCCGCTACTTCCTGCTCCTGCTGCACCCTAGCAGCAATAAGCGGGCACACCACCTTATGCCGGGCCTTCCAGTCAACCGCCTGGCACACGCGGCTGCAATACTTAGCCTTCCCGCACGCAGAGCAGCACCGGAACTCCTGCTTCCTTGTCTCCGATCGCCCGCACAGCTCATTGCAGCACACTCTGAATCCCTCAGGGAGCGGCACGAGCGTATGCCAGTCCACCAGGAACTTATGCACAGCAACATGCCACCAGGAGGGTGGCAGGGTGATATGTGGCAGGCAGCAGCAGCGGTGGGGACCGCTAGACCCCGTGCACATGGCCACGGGAGGCCTCTCTGCGTGGGGCAAAGTTTCACTTGCATCTGCACCAACAGGGGCTTGGGTACCGCGTCCAAGTACTTGTGCTTCTGAGTGCTGGATTCTAGACTGATGCGCGTGCTGGGACTGGCGATCTAACTGGTGGTTCTGCGGCTGCTGCAACCCAGATTGCTGCAGAGGAAACTGCCCATCACCCTCGGATATAACTGGTGGTTCTGCGTGCGTTTCACTTCCTCTCGCCACGTTCTCGCCGCTTTGAAGGTTCTGCAGCACGCTCAAGTCGACTCTCGAACCCGAGGAGGCACGGTGGGGTACAACCTCCCCTTGGAGCGATGCGCCAGACACGCCAGGTGCGTCATTGGTCCAACCTTGGCTCCAGGAACCCGTGCTACACGCGTGCTCGCGTGCAAACGTGCTTGGAATCGCAGCAGCACGCATCAGCACACGAGGTCTTGACGCGTGCACCTCGCCCTTCGTGCTACCCTCTTGCGCACCCAGTGCACAGTTTTCATTTGAACCGAAAGAGCCAGTGCCAGCTGAAGCTACTGGAAGAGCGGCGGGAGAAGCTTGCACGTCACTGCAATTAGACGTCCCGCTCGTCCCGCATTGCGACGCAGCGCCCCGCGGGGCTAATACTAGCGGAGCAACACACCGAGGCACCGCCACGGAGCAGGCAAGCGCGCGCGCCGCCTCGCGAACGTTCGCCTCCTGCAGCATCCGGCGGCCCTCGGGAACGTCCCGCTGCACGCCGTACCCGTCCTGTAGGCAGTGCCCCAGTTCCCGAAGCGCCTCCACGTGTCCCGCGGCCGCGGCGCGCGCGCAGAGCAGAACCCCCGCCACGAGGTCGCGGTCGTGGCGCGTGCCGCCGCTGCCGTTGAAGTGGATGACGGCGAGCGAGTGCAGCGCGTGCGGGTGCGCCGCGAGAGCCGCCTTGGCCAATAGCGTGGCTCCGTGCTGGTGATCCCCGAGGCAGTAGAACTTGATCTGTGGCAAGGCAAGGGAGAGGATGACCGGTGTGAGTGTTACGCGCAAGAACTATACCGTCAAATTAACAAAATTGTGGAGCGATTGAGGGGAGAAACAGGGGGAGGGGTGGGAAGAGGCGGAACCGTGATAATCTTGCGCGAGGTCGTGGGATCTAGGAGGCTTACCATGCCGAGAATGTAGCAGGCGTCTGTGTTGCCAGAAGTCGCACACTTGTGCAAGAACCTGTGCGACCCTTCGGTCAGGGACCGTGCCTGCATTGCGAGCGCAAGAGGCGACACTTTGCGGAGCACTTGAGCCTGAGTGCCGAGCTCGCACATGCGACGGGACCTGAAGGGCCAACAGAGCAGAAATAACAACGTGAGTTGCTTGCCTGGCTGTTTTGAAAGGTAAGCGGTTGAAAGGAAGAAGCTTTACAGCTCGGGACGTTAAGTTTTGGAATGGTTCCTTACGTGAGGAGGACGTTGACGACGTCAGCGGAAGAGTTGGCGCAAGCTACCACCTTCTCCAGTATGCATGTGAGAATCTCATCCTGCAATTCGATAAAAACACTTCGGTCATAATCTTCCACAGAATCCCACGGGAAGTGTTAAAGGTTCTAAGAAAAAAAACCACGCAAGTTCACGGCCTCAGAGAATGCACGTACGGGAAGGTTATCCACGGCCGAAGCCGCGAGCCGTTTGTGAGCTGAAGCGCCTGAAGCCTTTAGCGACATTCGCGTCGAGTACGCTCGCTTGGAAGGTATGTGACGTATGTGGAAAGTAATACCGTCTGCAGCACTTTGATACCCGCCGGTTCTCGTCCGCATAATGCCCTGAAATACGAAAGAACCTTTCAAATAGTGAATCACGCCAAGCTTCTTGATAAGACGTTCGTTCGCACCGCACTATGCTGAAACTCCTGCTTTCTTGGTAATAAATCAACCGCCGCAATGCCATGGCTAAGTAGCCGCTCGAAAGGACAGGAAGGGAGGAAGAAGCCGAGAATCGCCGCGGCCAGCGGCGTGCGTGAGGGGGGTGTGTGTGGAGGAGAGAACAAAACCAACACGGAGAATTCGAGGTGCAAAGGCGGTGGTGGTGGGGAGGTGATGTGAGTGTGAGGCAGAATCGAGATACGAGTTACACCCTGTTTCTCGACCCTCTCACCTTGCGCGATTCGCTGCTACAGTGCGGTCAGGTGCCATAAACCGTATGGCTGAAACCTGCGGGCAAAGCCGCACCAGCTGACGGAGTGGTACTGGGGGCAAAATTTTTATTTATCGCTGTATACCCTTTTCAACATCTTTGAAACGCTTGGTTAGTGTTCTTTACCATGCAGCATCCTAGCTAACCGCTTTCTTGTGAATGTGCTTGTACCGTCGGTGATAAGACCATTTCAAACGTGGTGACGTTCTACAACTAGTGCATGTTCTGCAACCAGATGCTCTGCTAGCGCGAAACAGGGTGTATTTGCTTCATAAGCAAATCAGTCCACCTGAAGATTCGTTGCGCCAAGTTGGAACAAGCGCTGATTTGGAAATTCGAACATCCACCTTGATGTTGTTGGATTGAAGCAGCGGGGTTGCTGTTGCCCGCCAGCGCAGAGGCAGCCCAACCTAACCTCGGTGTTTGGGCGTGCCCTGGGTTTTGGACCTTGAGAGAGATGTGGCTCAACAGTTTCGCCAACGTGTCGTTGCATCCATCCCTCGTGGGGAATTTGCGTTGGCAAGGTGGATCGATCGCCGTTCGATCGATTTACATCAAGAGCAAATGTTGAAAGCAGCACGGCACGGGCGGACTCGCTTGTCCGCTGAGGTATTTCATTCCGTAATCTTCTGTGTGTGATTTTCTGGAGATTACTTTTGATTCGGCCTTGTCACCTCGCTAACTCGCAGAAAGAACGCGACATCTGCTTGATAACCGTACAGAACCGCAAAAGAATTCTGCCTGTCAAAATGTAATCGAGCCAGTGAGGTCAGAAAGGACAAAACACACCGAGCAGACTGTTTTTATACAGTCAGCAAACTGTACACAATTCACCTGACGTAGACGACGTCGAGGCTCACGCATCGACCCTCCAAAATACATATCCTGTATAGGCTTCTCCCCAACAATTAAATTGCACCTGACGCGGTGAGTGTGCTCCTGATGCAGAGCACATCACAACAGGAAAAACGCTGTAGTATCAAGATCCAACATGAAGCTTTGGGCCTAGGGCACCACGTGGTGGCAGTAGACACCTACCTAGCATGGGAGAGCTTTGACCAAGCACACGATTGCAAGACAAAGCAACAGTAAGCTATTGCAATCAAAAGGACATCCCCTTCTCTACACAGCTAAAAACAAGCAGCCTGTCATGGCACAATGTTGCTCACTCCAATGGCAACAAACCCCCACACCTGCAGCTAAGAAATGCTGTGCTCAACTTTCCAACAGCCATGCGGTCTTGCAATGACAGTGAATCCAGCTGCCCGGTTGAGCATGAGACTGAGACCCAACCATGAATGGGATGATCGAAGGATATGGATGAATGGATTGGAGGGCCCAGACAGGCACTGGAGGCGCCAAAGAAAGCCATCACTGATCAGGCCCTGTGCCCCCCAGATAAAGGTCATCTCTGAGAAGGCTCAAGAACGGTTCAAACATGGACAGAGACGAAGAGTGGTTACCCCGACCCGCCGTGCTGACGCCAGTTGAGGATCATGGATTTGACAGCTCCTCTCAGGAGTCATTATGGACTCGGAAATTCTTCAACCATGAACCAGAAGTCGTTACCCCGACCCTCCCGTCTCGCGCCAGTCGAGGATCATGGATTTGAGAGCGCGGTTGGGCACGAGGGCCTTGGAGGGCAGGCGCACGTTGGTCATGGGCGAGCGATCGCTCTTCTCCAGCCACTGCTGTATCGCCACCAGCTCGTAAGTGTGGCCGTCTGCTGCTATCACTGGATTCACCATCAGCTCCTGTAATTGGGGGAGGGGGGGTTTGGGGGTTAAGGAAAAGCAGGGTAATCAAAAGGGAGCAGACGGATGCAGAGCATCACCAGCTCGTACATGTGCCCGTCCGCTGCTATCACCGGATTCACCATCAGCTCCTGTAATGGGTGGAGAGAGAGGAAAAAAACGGGAGCAGGTGAATGCAGAACAACACCATGTTGTATGTGGGCCCATCCGCTGCTATCACTGGGTTCTGCATCAGCTCCTGCTGGGGAGGGGTTGAAGGCAAAGTGGGAAGCACAAGCGACAAGTTGCACACCCTTGCCACGGCAGGTGAGTGCCAGGCAGGTGAGTGCAGGGCAGGTGAGTGCCGGGCAGGTGAGTGCCGGGCAGGTGAGTGCCGGGCAGGTGAGTGCAGGGCAGGTGAGTGCAGGGCAGGTGAGTGCGGGAGAGGTGAGTGCAGGGCAGAAGAGTGATTGCAGCGAGGGGCACTGCACCTGAGTGATTGCAGCGAGGGGCACTGCACCTGAGTGATTGCAGCGAGGGGCACTGCACCTGAGTGATTGCAGCGAGGGGCACTGCACCTGTGTGATTGCAGCGAGGGGCACTGCACCTGTGTGATTGCAGCGAGGGGCACTGCACCTGTGTGATTGCAGCGAGGGGCACTGCACCTGTGTGATTGCAGCGAGGGGCACTGCACCTGTGTGATTGCAGCGGGGGGCACTGCACCTGAGTGATGGGGCAGAAGAGGCAGGGAGGAGCAGCAGCCACGGGCCGGACCAGCGACGCCTTCTTCGCATCCTCCTCCGCCTTGATCGCCACGCTCCGCATCCTGTCCAGAATCGGCATCACCTCCGTCTCAAGGTCCGGCCGCTTGCGCCTCTTCATCTCGCTGCACTGAATCGCCAGCTTGGCTATCTCCATTGCCATGCCCTGCGGCCACGTGCCGGCTCCCGCATCCAGGAACCGCATCAGCTCGTCGTTGCGGTTACTCTCCACTGCGATTTCCAAGGCTTCGTACAGAGCGGGTGTGCGGCCTGTGAGGAGGTCGAGTAGGACGATGCCGAACGCGTACACGTCGGATTTCGGGCCGAATTCCCCCGTTCTCTGGAACTCCGGGTCCACGTATGCGAACGTCCCCACCGGGGTCGACTCGCGGTCGCACGTCTTCTCCATAGACAGCCCCGGCATAAGCTTAGCCAACCCCACATCCCCTAACTTCGCGACGAAATTCTTATCCAGCAGAATGTTCCCGGGCTTTAAGTCGCGGTGCACGATGGGCACGGGGCGGGTGTGCAGGATGAGGAGGGAGGAGGCGATTTCGGCGGCAATGCGTATGCGGACGAACCAGGGGAGGGGGGGCGTGGAGTGGAGGCGCAGGAGGCGGTCCTCCAGAGAGCCGTTGGCGAGGTACTCGTAGACGAGCACGTAGCGATCGGGACAGCACCCCAGCAGCATCAGCACGTGCGGATGCTGTATCTGACTCAGAATCTCCACCTGATTGTGGGGGAGGGGAGGGGAGGGGAGGGGAGGGGAGGGGAGGGGGGAAGAGGGGAAGGGAGGAGGAGGAGGAGGATAAGAGGACGAGGGGCATGCACGTAAGGGGACACAAAACAAAACGCATGCACCAACCAACGCACCCCAGCAGCATGAGCACATGCGGATGCTGTATCTGACTCAGAATCTCCACCTGATTTTGAGGAGGGGGGGGGGGGGGAGGAGGGAAGGAGGAGCAGAAGGGACGAGGAGGAAGGAGGGGGGAAGGGCGGGGGAGGGGAGGGGAGCAGGGGGAGGGGAAGCGAAGACGAGGAAGGGAGGGGGAAGGGCGGGGGAGAGGAGGAGAGGGGGAGCAGGAGGGGGGTAAGAGTATGCTCATGCACGCAAGGGGATCTTAAACAGCACGCATGCACCAACCCACCCACCTCCTGTTGAAACTCCGCCATGGCCTGATTGGAGTCCTGGCTCTTGAGCAGCTTCACTGGTGTCCACACCAACGCACTCACTCCTGATGGAACCGAGTCAACGCGCACAAACGCACCACTCACTCAACTCCTGCTGGAACTCACTCACTCACTCACCACCTGCTGGAACTCACTCACTCACTCACTCACCACCTGCTGGAACTCACTCACTCACTCACCACCTGCTGGAACTCACTCACTCACTCACCACCTGCTGCAACCAAGTCGGCAATCGCTCACCCACCTCTTGTTGGAACTCCGCCATGGCCTGAATGGAGTCCTGGCTCTTGAGCAGCTTCACGGCCACGGGCGTGTGGTGCAGCGTGCCCGAGTACACAGTGCCGAACCCTCCCTCGCCCAGCTTGCGCGCCGCACTGAAGTTGTCCGTTGCTGCCTGCTTGGTGCGTTGGGTGGGGAGAAAGAGACACAGGGGGGGGGAGGCACAGAGTGAGAGGCGCGGGGGGAGGTGCAGGAGGGGAGGAGCAGAGGAGGGGAAGCACGGGGGGGAGAGGCAGAGAATGGGAGTTCAAGCAGGGTTGGGTGGGCAGGCGGGGAGCAGGGCGTGTGGTGCAGCGTGCCGGAGTGCACGGTGCCGAACCCCCCCTCGCCCAGCTTTCTCTCCGCACTGAAGTTGTCCGTTGCTGCCTGCTTGGTGCGAGGGAGGGCGGGGCGAAGATTGAAATGCAGGGGGTGAGGTGCAGCGGGAAGGGAAGGGAGAGGGGAAGAACAGATGGGGTGGTGCAGGGGGGAGGAGGGGAGCACGGGGGGAGGAGGTGGTCAGAAAGGCGGAACGAGGGGCGCAGGCAGGGAGCAGCGTGTGCGGTGCAGCGTTCCAGAGTACAGTACACGGTGCCAAAGCCCCCCTCGCCCAGCTTTCTCTCCGCACTGAAGTTCTCCGTCGCAGCCTGCTTGGTGTGTTGGTGTGTGTGTGTGTGTGTGTGTGTGTGAGAGAGAGAGAGAGAGAGAGAGAGAGAGAGAGAGAGAGAGACGCCAGTGGGGAAGGAAGATGGGGGAGGCACAGGAGGGGTGGGAGGGGGGTGTACAGGAGGGGTGGGAGGGGGGTGTACAGGAGGGGTGGGAGGGGGGTGTACAGGAGGGGTGGGAGGGGGGTGTACAGGAGGGGTGGGAGGGGGGTGTACAGGAGGGGTGGGAGGGGGGTGTACAGGAGGGGTGGGAGGGGGGTGTACAGGAGGGGTGGGAGGGGGGTGTACAGGAGGGGTGGGAGGGGGGTGTACATGAGGGGTGGGAGGGGGGTGTACAGGAGCTTGGTGCGTTGACGATTCTGTTCAATCTGGCTCTCTAAGACGCTCTAGCTCACAAGCTTTCCAGGCTCTCTCATTTTTTCATTTCATGGAGTTTGCTTCGTCGTCCGAAGACACAGTTTAAGTTGATGGACATAAGACCTCCGCAGCCCACCCGTTTACCATTGACAGCACAGGAGGGGTGGGAGGGGGGTGCACAGGAGCTCCGAAGAGGGGGGTAAGCCCGGGGGAGAGGGGGAGGCTCAGGAATGGTCAGCGGGGCAGAAGAGGGAGCAGGGCGTGTGGTGCAGTGTGTCAGAGTACACACACACACGGTGCCAAAGCCCTAGCGTTCTCCCCACACTGAAGTTGTCAGTCACTGCCTGCTTGGAGCGTTGGTGAGGGAGAGTGAGACGCCACGCCAGTGAGGAGGCCCAAGAGGGGTGGGTGGAGAGGGGGTTTAGTGAGCAGGAAGCAGTGCAGGCAGGGTGTAGAGTGCAGGGCTGTACTCATGCACTCTCCCCCTCTGCTTCGTGCGAGGGGGAGGGAAAGAGTGAGACATTAGTGGGGAAGGCACAGAGGGGGTGGGCGGAAAAGGGGTTAGCAAGGAAGGCAGGGTGTAGAGTGCAGGGCTGTACTCATGCACTGTCCTACTCTGAAAGCAACCTCACACACATATCCTCCCCCTCATGGCATTGCTTCTACACCCCCCAGCGCCAAACGCCTCCGAATTTTCTTCCCAATTCTTCTTCTACCCAACTCAGCAACGCACCAGGATTTCTTCATACGAGTATTCCCTGTAGTGATGCACCCGCCGCACCACTGGCGCAACCGGTTCCCCTCCCCCCGCCGCTCCTCCTCCACCACCCGCCCCCTTCTCCACCTCCTCCCCCCTCCCCTCTCGCCTCCCCACCTCCTCTTCCGCTGCTCTCCTCCCCTCTTCCGCGGCTGCCCGCGCCCTCTCCGCGTCTACAGCCATCTGCCCAATCCTCGCAGCTGCATCCGCCTCCCGAGCCACTCCCTGTGCCACAGCAACCTGAGGCGAGCCCCCAGGCTCGGGCCGAGCCTGCTGGTTACCACCGAGTCTGGCAGCGGCGTCATAGAGCGGCATGCCTGCTAGGGCTGCAGTGGCCTGAGCCATACGCGCCTCTAGGTCAGCCATGAATGCCTGCTGCTGCTCTGGGGTCGCCTGGGGGTTCGCCCTCCTCCACGCGTCCACCTCTGCTAGATAGTCTCTCTGTAGCCGCTGCAGCACCTGCTGCAGCTGCATCTGCTGCTGCTGCTGCAGCTGCTGCAGCTGCTGCTGCTGTTGCAGTAGCAGCATCTGCTGCTGGTTCTGCAGCTGCAGCTGCTGCATTCTCATCTGCATCATGGAGTCCAAATCGCCCCCGTCCCCAGGATTCCGAATCGGGGAGGCCCCTGGCATGCCGTGAGGAACGGACAAGCCTGGGGAGTAGGTTTGGAAGCCGGCTATACCGTCGGGTGTGGTAAGGGTAGCACCAGCATGGTCGTGAGGCCAGGTACCGGCTCGGGAGGGCTGTGGGGCGGTGTGGACGTTGGGGCTGCTGGGGTAGTCGGCGCCAGGTGGCTGCGCGCCATTGGTTCTTGCGGCTTCATCATCTTCTGCATGATTGGGTTGAGGGAGAGGGAGTGAAGGGCGAGAGCGATGCGTGTCTGTGCACCCGTAACCAGAGCTACACTAGAACCTATATTCCGAAGAAGAGAGTGAGAAATAATAAACAATTGCCACCTTTGTCATCAAGTAGAGAAATAGAGTGAGTTGTTGAGATAAGCCTCCCTCCCTTTCACCGGCATCATCAAATGCAAGCCCATAGCTCGGCTCCAATGCCCCACACGCGCTGTGCGTGGAGGAGCGATCGGGGTGGTTATGTACCAATGCTCCTCCCCCCACCCCGATTGCAGGTGGGTGGTTAGTTACCAACGCTCACTGAACCAGTTCTCAAGTCAAGGTCCCCCCACCCACCTGCATCATTAAACGCATTGCTCGGCTCCAGCACCCCAGACGAGCTGTGCGAGGAGGAGCAATCGGATTGGATTGGTTATGTGTGTGCCAATGCTGACTAACACTGACTGACCCGATTCTCAAAGGTGTGGTTCCCTTCCAAGTTCCCACCTACCTGCATCATCAAACGCACCATTCGGCTCCAACACCCCCAACGAGCTTTGCGCGGAGGTGGGCTCATCGGTGGGCTCTCCCTGACGAGCTGAGTGTGGGGAGGAGCGATCACATTGGTGGTGCGCGGACGCTGACTGACCCAATTCTCAAAGCCCCCCCACCCCACCCACCCACCCACCTGCATCGTCAGACCCGAGCCCGTTGGTGGGCTCCAGCACCCCCGACGAGCTGCGTGTGGAGGAGCGGTCGGACTGGTGGTGCGCGGACATGGACGGGCTGTGGCGGAACGGTGCTGATGACGCCACAAGCAAGTGACCGGGGCTGGTGGGCGCGGAGGAGGAGGAGGAGCCGGGCAGGGAGTCGGCCTCTCTGCACGCGGTGACTTTGTCCTTTAGCACCACGTAGACGGACACTGTTGGGGGGCGGTTCTTCATGCAATACGCCCCCACTCCCGTACGGCCGCGACTGGCGGAGCAAGAGAGGGGGAGTGGGGTCGGTTGGGAGAGATGGTGGGTGAAGGTGACACACACGCACATGGCGCGTTCGAGGTGGCAAGGAAATAAGGCTGCACACACGAACATTCCATATGTGCTATAATCATGCTACTACGCATGCAAGCGCCCCGCCCACACACAACCCGCATGCCGCGCACTCACATGCCAAAGATGCCTCTTGAGCTGGTGCCGACGACGAGTGTGGTGGCCTTGAGCTTCCTGGACTCGTCCACTATGCCCCTCTCCTTGCTGTTGTTCCTCCCCACCTTCAACTCCAGCCTTATCTGCCATGCACACATGCATGCACGCACATTCGCACACGCATGTGTGCGCACAGACACACATACACGCATACACACCCAGACATGCACACGCACACCCTAGCATAGCACACTCCCCCTCCCCCCTTTCCACGCTCACACGCACACAAACACACACGCGTACCCCCACACGCGCATGCATAAACACACACACACGCACGCACACGCGCACGCACACACGCACACAAGCAACAGGAACGACCATCATCAGCACCGTTTTAGCAACCCCCCTTCATGCTGTGTCGTCTCGTCCTCAACAATCAAATCCTCTAGGAAACCATCCGCCCTACACAGCAACAGCAATAAGAAGCATCCCAAATCCCCCAAAACCAACACCAACGTGAACGTCCGCCCTGGACCTGTAGCCCTGGTTGCTACGAGGTGACCTTTGAGTCGACTCAAAAGTCTACCAAAACTAACACCAACGTACGTGAAGGTCTGTCTTGGGCCTTTACTGGTTCATACGCAATGAATAAAGGCTACCTTGAGCTCACCTTGGGATCATCACGGGGTGCTGTGGGCTCACCTTTGAGTCGACCATGCCCTTGAGCTCGATCATCATGGGCCGTATCACTGAACAATAAGAAACGGCTCGGCTACCTTGATCCTTTGCTACGGATGAAGTCAATGCAGTGCGGGCTGCTGCAATTGCTCACCTTGGAGTCGACCATGCTCTTGAGTTCGATCATCATGGGCTGTACCACTGTGCGCACGTAGTGCACGAATGTTGTGTTGTTCACGTCGCTCTGATACATCTCCACCTCTGCTCAGGCCATGCACGCACGCATACACGCGCGCATGCATGCATGCACGCACCCATGCATGTACGCACCCATGCATGCACGCACCCATGCATGCACGCACCCATGCATGCACGCACCCATGCATGCACGCACCCATGGATGCACGCATATCACAGATGCGAGCCATGCACACCATGCGAGCGAGAAAAAAGGCGACGGCGGATCCGTGTGAGAGGAGAGACGCGAGCTGAGTCGTAACCTGCTCACTATCGAGTCAGCTGTATAAGTCAGCAAGTTCAAGCAAGAATGGCAGGTTCCAGAAGCCTCATCACAACACCGGCAAGGTACCATCACGGCCAGAACACCGGAGGTTTCCGCGCCGGAAAATCCCTGTGGCCGACCAGCGAGGCGCTTACTCTGATGGGTGGGAACTTTGGTAACCACATGCAACAGAATGAGCATGTCGTCGGGGTGTCGCAGCCTGTTGGCGATGGCCCATCGGATCGCGTCTTTGCTGCACGGGTCCTTCCCCACTCCCACCACCACGCGCTCGCACCCCGACCCTACCCATCCCGGCGTGCTTGTCCCGCTCGCGCTCATGCCTCACCGCTCCTTCCCCCTCCCTCCTTCCCGCCTTCGCCTGCTATTGCGATTTCATCCGCGGTAGTGACTGTCTCGAGTTATCCAATTGACACAGCATTATCAATTAAAGAAGCTGCTTATCACATTTTTATGACTACCCCATTGGCGCCGCATTATCCATACGTCGCGCGTTTGCGAATTCTATGAAAGGCCTAATGCATTGTCATCCGTATATATCAATAATTTTCCATCCTGAAGGCATGGCCAGGTTGACGAGTTGAGAGGTAAGGGACTGGATATATGGCCGTTGAACTGACCGCGGAAGCAATCGCTACGTACTAACCCTAATTTTCCAAAACTTGTGTCGCCATACACGAGTCGCTACAGCCTGAACCGTGGTAACGAGAGGTAGGTACACGTGAGCAGAGCAGGTCGACTATAGGTGGCTGTTTAGTCCAGCAATCAAGGTAGGCGAGCCCGAAACTAGTCTTACCGAAAACCGTACATGGCTTTAGTTGACAAAAACTGTCAGAGCAGAGCGTCTCGAGTCGCAAGTCGTGGTTACCCGTGGTTTAGTCGGCTGAAGAGAGTTGTAAAGTGGTGAGGCTAAGGGATGGTCGCTTCTGGTAAAACGGAGGCTGGAGGGAGAAGCCCTCGGATGAACCTGGGACCCGTGACCAGTCAGTGTTAGTCACCCAGCAGAACCGAGGGAGAAGTCACCACCACCACAATAACGGGAGTAGTGGAATCTAGGGAGCGGAACATAGGGAGCGGAGGAAGCTAGAGAGACAGATGGCATGATACGGGACACTCGTTTTTTGCGGTGCAATACGTTAACTCAAGTTTTAACGCGTTAAATAAACGATATAGTGCGGTTCGTTGGGTAATGAGCAACCGCGAGGTCATGAGATCATGAGATCGTATCAGGTTACGAGGTCACAAATGACAGCAAGGAGACTCATGGAGCCGAGTGGCGTTGCGGGGAGGCTGGGGGAAGCAACTGGCGGAAAATGAGACTACAAGTGGAGAGCCAGCTGGGCCCCTCTGACTCGCTGGCCCTTCAACGCTGGCTCTTCGAAGCCGGGTTCGCTGTTCAACAATGCCGACTGGAAGAACACCCCATCGCGGAATGCCAGCGAAGCAAGTGGGAGTGTTGAGTGCTGCTATCGACACCTCTGTACAGTAAGAGCAGTTAACTTATCTTACAGTTAGAACAATCCTTAGACCTATATCAAGTAAATAGATTCCTTAATAGCATAGATGCTCTCTACTAAAAACAAATGTTCTGCGTGATTTTCTCTAACCAGTTCGTCATTTCTGCAAACCTCCCTCCACTCCATCCCCAGCGTTTTTTGCTGCCTCATCATCATCTGTTTCAAAAGCAGCTGCATGTGAAGCAGCATACCCGCTCCTTCCAACCCCAACCACCACATCCAACTCATCCATCCCCATGTCCTCCCCAAGCTCTTCCAACACACTCCGCACCACCCCTGCACCATCCTCCTCCTCGTCCCGAGCATAACTCGCCGCCAACCCCACATCCCCCAAGACCACCTCCCCATACTCCCCCTCAATCACACCCCCTCCTGGCGCCTGAGACGACCCAGCCGCAGCACCATCAGCACCAGAAGAAACGGCAGTGGTGGCAGCGGTGGCAGTGGTGGCGGTGGGGTCGATCCGAAGGAAGGAGGGCTGTGAGGTGGCGGCTAGGAGGCGCGCCCACATGCGGTCAGTGAGAGAGATGCTGTTGGGCTTCTGTGTTATCTTCTGGTGTGGGGCAACGGGGGGGAGGAGGGAGAGAGGAGAGAATGAGAAAGGTAAGAGAGATGCTGTTGGGCTTCTGTGTTATCTTCTGGTGTGGGGCAACGGGGGGGAGGAGGGAGAGAGGAGAGAATGAGAAAGGTAAGAGAGATGCTGTTGGGCTTCTGTGTTATCTTCTGGTGTGGGGCAACGGGGGGGAGGAGGGAGAGAGGAGAAAATGAGAAAGGTGAGAGAGATGCTGTTGGGCTTCTGTGTCATCTTCTGGTGTGGGGCAACGGGGGGGAGGAGGGAGAGAGGAGAGAATGAGAAAGGTAAGAGAGATGCTGTTGGGCTTCTGTGTCATCTTCTGGTGTGGGGCAACGGGGGGGAGGAGGGAGAGAGGAGAGAATGAGAAAGGTAAGAGAGATGCTGTTGGGCTTCTGTGTCATCTTCTGGTGTGGGGAAACGGGGGGGAGGAGGGAGAGAGGAGAGAATGAGAAAGGTAAGAGAGATGCTGTTGGGCTTCTGTGTCATCTTCTGTTGTGGGGCGAGAGTGGAGGGAGGGAGGAATGAAACAGAGAAAGGGAAGGGAGAGACATGTTGTTAGGAAGAAACGAAGCAGGGGATCAGATAACACATGAGAGGGGCAGCAAGGCCAGGAAAAAACCTTGAAAGTGATTAGTGAGAAAGGAATACGAGAAAAGGCAGAGCTGAGGAGAACATGCAAACACCCAACACTAGTCAGTGAAGATGAGGAGAAACGACAAGTGCTCGTCAAGAGGTGGGTGGGTATGTGTGGAGGCGGAGAGGGAGTGAAGGAGTGCACTGACATTGACGGGGATGTAGCAGTGGCGGTTGTTGACGGAGCCGACAATGAAGTGAGTGAGGATGGGAGTGAGTGAGGTGACATGGGAGGGGAGTGAAGGAGCAGGAGAGAGGGAGGGAGTGCACTGACATTGATGGGGATGTAGCAGTGGCGGTTGTTGACGGGGCCCACAATGAAGCCGGTGTAGCCGGCCATCACCCCGTGCACTGCCCCGTGCGCCAGCAGCGTGCAGTATATGTTGTCACTCGCGTTCGCGGGGATGGCCCGGATCATGTACGTGGGGTCTGGTGGGGGAAGGAGAGGGGGGAAAGAGAGTGAAAACGAGAGAGAGGGAGAGAGAGAGAGAGAGAGAGAGAGAGAGAGAGAGAGAGAGAGAGAGAGAGAGAGAGAGAGAGAGAGAGAGAGAGAGAGGACTTAGCACCCAGCCCTCTTCCTCTTCCCTCGGCCCTCTTCCTCTGAGCCTATTTAAGGGCCCTTGGTGCCTTCTTCTCCTCATTATTTCGTGTGTTCTCAGTTTTCCGCGGGCGGAGAGAGCGAGAGAGAGAGAGGACTTAGCACCCAGCCCTCTTCCTCTTCCCTCGGCCCTCTTCCTCTGAGCCTATTTAAGGGCCCTTGGTGCCTTCTTCTCCTCATTATTTCGTGTGTTCTCAGTTTTCCGCGGGCGGAGAGAGCGAGAGAGAGAGAGGACTTAGCACCCAGCCCTCTTCCTCTTCCCTCGGCCCTCTTCCTCTGAGCCTATTTAAGGGCCCTTGGTGCCTTCTTCTCCTCATTATTTCGTGTGTTCTCAGTTTTCCGCGGCTCGCGCCGGCGGCCTTCGGCCGCCGCCGCTCGCCAGCGCGGCCTTCGGCCGCGCGTTTCAGAGGCAAGACACTCACACAAGGAGTTGATCAAGCAAGGCATTCCAAGAAGGAAGAAATCAAGCAACTGGAGAGCATCACCTTACGATCAAGATGCAATACTACACGAGACGCCGCTCTACTGCGTGTACAGGCCAGCCCCCTCCGCCTCAAGCATCGCGAGAAGACACCCCGCCATTGAGTGGAGAAGCTCCGCCGAGAAGCGAAGAGTGTCAACAGGGGTCCCGTGCTGAGCCGCAGCGTGAAGATCAAGAGCGAGGCGGGGGAAGGTACGGGCTAAGGGTGCTACCCCGGCGGGCGCATCCGACACGGGCGATAAAAGGGGGACAATCTCTCCTGCCCAAGCGACGCACTGTCCTTGGGGCCCTTGCGCAAAACTGCTCGGTGTGTGACGCATGGCCTCACACGCCGCCAGCTGCAGGCTCGCCAGCCCCTCAGCCGCCCCCGCCAAATTCCACATCCGGCACATGCTCAGCGTGGGATCTCTCCCCGCGCGGCTGGGGAGGGGCGCAGTCAGAACTCCGCGCGGCAGAAACATCGCCACCTGGCCCGGAGTCTGGCCAACCGTATTCTGACGAGCAGGGTAACCTGGGGCTTGGCGGCGTCCGCGGAACGGCCCCCTCGCCGCTGCAGCTGGCAGATACTCCCGCAAGGTCGGAGCGCGCAGCGGAGCGGCTTCAACCGCAACAGGTGCGGTGGGGGGCTCAGTGGTCACAGACACGTGAACGTGAGCCGCTGCCCCCGACGCTTCCACCTCCCGCACTGCATCCGCCACCATATTCCCCGCGCGGTCAGCAGTGGAGCCCTGGCCACGACTACCCCCGCCGCGCGCATAACCATTCCGCCGCCCACGACGCCCTCCAAACCCAGCCGACTGAGGACGGGGCGGGGACTGCTCACGGCGGCGAGAATCCCAACGGCCCGCATGAGCCCCGCGGCCCCAACGCGGAGGCGACGGCCGCGGCGTCCGCTGCGGAGGGGACCGCTCCCGCGGGGAGCGCTTCTCCGGCGACCTCTCAGAAGAGCGGTAGCGGCGGTCGCGATGCTGAATTTCCCGCTGATATTCGTCCCATCGCCGCCGAGAGTCATGCGGCTCGGGGGCGCGACGCGCAGGGGACGCGGGTCGATATCCACGAGGCGGCGGGGACCGGCCCCGCTCCTGACGCGCCGGCAAGGCATTCGACGCGACGACTAGGGGAGCACGGGATTGCTCAGGAGACGCGTGACGATCCGCCCCGCGCAGCGGACGAGACAACCCGCGCTCAAGACGGCGCACGGGCGCCGACGCAGCACGACGAGCCTGCACTTGGGAACGCGGAGGCGCATACTCGGGGTTTGGCTGCGCAACAAGCTGAGCGCTCTCCGCGGTTGCTTCCAAGGCGCGGTCGCGACCCACGGACCCCGCCATCACGACCGAGGCGTGAGCCGAGGACGCCAGAGCCCCGCTTGGCAGGGGAGGAGATCGGCGAAAACCGCACGCCTGTAATGCACAGCCCAATCGCGAGGAGTGGCACACCTGGCGGACGACGCGTAGGCGGGAGAGGACGCCGAGGAAGAGGAGCTGGGAGGAGAGGAGGCCGACGTACAGGCGCGAGCGGCTATGCGAGGACAGCAGAACGACTACTCCGGGAAGGCGCGGAAGGCGGCGAGGAAGCCGCTAGCAGGGGGGAGAGTGGTGAATCGGAGAATGACGAGAGCGACGAGGGTGACCAAGGTTTTAACCCCGAAACGGAGGGAGGTTTGGATGCTGAAGCTGATGAAGATGATGAGGAGCTCTTGGTTCGTGGGGCTGAGTTCCCGGACCAACAAATTGGAGCCGCGTCTGCAACACGAACCCCAGCCAGAAATCGGAATGTGGGGGGAAATCAGGCCTGGAGGGGAAATCGGACCGCGGCAGAAATCACATTTGACTCTGCCGCAACCAATAGGAACACCCCAACCCCAACTCCAACCCCACCAATGATCCACCCAGGCGACTTGGCGAAACGACTGGACCTTCTCGCGCAAGTCGCAGGCTGGGACCTGGACCCACTGCGCGACAGTCGCCAGCCCCCCCTCGCCCGTCACCCGCCAAAAGACCTTCGCGAATCATTCGCAGTCTGCCTACTCACCCCACTCCTCCACCTGGCAGCCAATCCCAACTCGACCGCGGGGTGGAGGTTACTGACTTTCCTCCCGCGAATCCTCCTACGCACCTCGTCAGCTCGCAAACCAGACTGGAACGCGATGATGAATCGCCTCCTCCGTTTCCGCCAGGGACTCTGGTCTGGCCTGTACGACGAGGCAGTTGAAGCAACTTCCCTCCCAGCCCAGCCACGTCACATACCTGACACTCAGGGCATCCTTGCTGGAGCGGAGGGACTGGCCAAGCGTGGTAACCTGGCCAAGTCACTACAGTCCCTCCAAGCCACTCCGGTCTCACCTGCCTCCTCCGAAGTGTACGCGGCATTAGCAGCACGACACCTGCAAGCACTCCAGCCCTTACCAGAATGGATACGCACCTTCTCCCCCGAGAAAACCCCTTCGATAGAGCCGCGCGACTTCAGGCGCATCGTAGCCAAACTCCCAAACGGGGTGGGAGCAGGGCCCTCAGGCACAACCTTCGAGCACATACGCGATGCTGCACTCGGAAATCCAGACATCTTCGCCCATCTCCTCGCACTTACCAATACAGCTATAGCCGGGAAACTCAGCAGCGAGGCCACCGAGCTCCTCACAGCCTCACGGCTCTTGGCCTTCACAAAACCGCAGGGGGGGACCCGACCGATAGCCGTGGGCGAATGCCTTCTTCGCATGGTGGCCAAGGCAGCACTGTTCCTGACTGGGGCGGCGGCATGATCACACTTCGCGCCTCTACAGTTCGAGGTAGCAGTGGCTGGAGGGATTGAGGCGGCCATTCACACTGCGCGCACATACCTGGAGGAGAACCCGGGCTCGGTGGCGCTGCAGATTGACCTCGCCAACGCGTTTAACGCGGTGGAAAGGGCGGCGGTATTCGAGGGGCTCAAGAACGAGTCCCTTGAAAGCCTTCTGCCCCTTGTCCGCCTCTCCTACGGAACTCCCTCAGCACTCCACCTCGACCATGACTTCGGCGTGGCTCCACTGCTAAGTGCTAGAGGCGTCCGCCAGGGGGACCCTCTTGGCCCCTTGCTCTTTGCGGCAAGCATCCACCCACACCTTACCGCAACGGCACTAGCTCACCCAAGGGTCGTCATTCTCGCCTACGCAGACGACATAACGCTGCTAGGCGAAGCAGAAGCGTGCACGGCGGCATTTACACACCTCACTGCCACACTGATCCACATAGGCCTCGAGCACAACCTTGGGAAGTGTGAGGCTTGGTCTGCAACCGCCATAGACCCCGCCTCTCTCCCTCCGAGCTTCCCCATTGCAGCAGACGGACTGCGGATATTAGGAAGCCCAATCGGGACCTCAGATGGCTGTGCCGCCAGAGTAAGGGAAAGGCTTGCAGCAGCAGCAGAACCCTTGCCGCTCCTGGCCCAAATGGACCCCCAATTGTGCCTGCTGCTACTCACCCGCTGCGTGGGCCGGCGAGCATCCTTCCTGGCCAGAACCACTCCGCTAGAGGCACTACCTGAGGATGAATGGGCGGCATGGGGGGAGCAACTGCTGCATACCTTCCTGGACGCGGCCCATATCATGCTGCCAAGGAGTGACGCGGAACAGAGGAGAATCTGGAGGCAAGCGGCGCTGGCCGTAATATTGGGGGGGCTTGGCATTACAAATCCTGCAGTTGAAGGGAGCTCTGCGTACCTTGCGTCCGTGGTGGGCACCTCCCACTTACTGCACTCCCTGGCCGAGGCACTCTACCCAGATGTAGCAGCCCTCCTCCCCCTAATGGACCCCACCTCCGGCTCCGCGCACGCCCTGCCTGCACGCCTTGCAGCAGCGGAAGCAGCCCTCCCCCCCGAGGCTCTAGAAGCTCTCCAGGCCGGGAAAGCAGACCCACAGGGCCTCAAGCTGCAGCAGTCTCTAGCGCTGGCGGTTCAGACACGCCGCTTCCTGAGGGTCATGAACGAGGCAAGGCGGATGCGCCCCAACCCCCTCTCTGGCCATGCCCAGAGAATGCAGTCGGTGCTCGGCCCTGGTGCGGGAGATTGGCTGCTGACACTACCCATCATACCCTCGCTTAGGATGGGACCCTCCCAGCTCTCCTCCGCTGCTGCGTTCCGCCTGGGCCTCCCCCTACCTGTCCCCAGGCGCTGCGACTGCCGCTACCGCACCAAATTCCCTGATGACCGCCTCCCAAACCATCTCATGCGCTGCGAGAAAGGGGGGGGAAGGATTGCGACTCACCATGCGCTCAGGGACGAGATTGCTTTGATTGCGGCAGAGGCGGGATTCACGGTGCACAAAGAAACCTATGTATTCTCTCTCGTTGAAAACCTGAAGGCGGACGTCGCAAT